CACACACACACACACACACACACACACACACACACACACACACACACTCTTTAGATTTCAATAATATCACAAATGATAAAATAAAAAACCGTGTTGTCCCAGTTTAATATGTGTCGCATCTTTGGTGTTTTACAATGCGAGATTTTTTGGCTTTTCATGAAACGCTCTTCTACTTCGTGATTCCAAAATCAATTGAATTATGAGAATCAGTTCTTGAATCAGTTCAGCAATAGCATTCGGGAATATATAACAATCTTCTATATGTCCAATAAAAACATTGCGACGAATTAATAAATGAAGTCAAACATATAATTTCTCATTCACCTGCTAGTGAAAATAATAAATCATCTCCATTTCAAACGCTTTTGTGACCATCTATATTTCTGTACAAATTGAAACAAAAAAAAAAACACACACACATTAAATAAGCTAATTTCATTCAATAATTGATTGGTAGTTTTACATCAAATGATACATAATCTCATGTTCATAAACGTAATCTCTTTTCATTAGCTTTGGCGATACCAAAAATATAATTCTATAATAGGAATGCTTTCCAATGTAGTTTTATACCGTTTTATATACACATAATGTAAATGTATGAAAGAAACAAATTGATTCTTTCACACCACTCTATCATAGTGACAGACGAAAAACAAAGACAATATTTTAAACTATCATTTTCAGGCGATCGAAGTTTGATGCAAGAAGTGGTTGCCGACGCAAAAGTTACCGAATGGTTCTCGAGAAATGTGAGCTTCAGTTCAAAAGATGGGTAAGTTAAAAATAAAATGTCATCAAAAAAAAACTATGCGTTTAAGACAAAAGAATAAAAGCAAAAAATACCCACCGCAACTCAGTTTGTCGAAGAAAAAAAAGTCATTTTAGTTTCATTTTCAGATATATCTGTCACGCTTAGATAAAAACAACTAACAAATTTGTTTTCTTTTTTCTTTCATTTTAATTTGATTTGCATTTATTTTCTTTTTTTTTGTCAAAATTATCAAACATTATTTTTTGCATGCCAAAAATCAAAACTAATTCTTAATGAACAAAATTTATCAAAACAAAAACGAAAGAAAACTTTTTTCCATTATCAAACATTTTTAATTTAATTCACTACAATCAAATCATAATATATTTGCACAACCACACACATTTTCAAATGGAATAGCCCTAGCCCAATAGCCGTTTTAATTGGCTTACTGCCAAGGTAAATATTTGATACACACTCACAACCACACTCATGCACAAAATCAACAAAGAATATTTGTTTTTTGTTTTTTAAATAATTGATCGCCAATTAGAGTAGAGTGTGTCTCTCTGTCCATCATACAAATTCTTTTTTTGTTATAAATATTTAAATGGAATTTGGCATTCACATGAGTTTTAACAATTGAATCATTCGATTCGAATCGTGTTGAGCGTCGTTCATCCTGCTATTGCACGTCAAATAATATGGGATCGATTCTATTTTGTAGGAATGAATTTGATCAACGATTCGGCATAACGACTTCGTTCTTGGCAACGCACAGTGGCTTAGTTCGTTGGATGGACTTTCAAAAACCGAACAATAACTATGTGGCCGATTCACAACCGGAGTATGTGCACCTTTTATTTTGGCAATATATTCATTATTTATGATTTTTTTTTCTATTGTATCATTCATAGTGACCCAACTGCAGACATTTTACGATCAGTTGATGAAGTATGGTATAAACGGGCCGTTGAACATCATTACATCGATCGGGAAGGTTTCGTTTATTCGGTGCCATATCATAAAGGTGCATAGCAAATGAATTAACACTTTCCAAAGAATCATGGATATTCATTTTCTTTTTTAAAATTTCAATAGAGAAAGACATGGATGTTAACAATATTCTAGTTACGGCGAGCCATGCCATTTTTCACACTGAAGACAAAAAATCTGCTCCAATTGCTGTTGTTGGCTATAAATTCCAACACTCAGCACTACGAGCACTATTCAAAAACATCACAAGCAATGTAAGTACAATAGATAGAATTTGTTGTAGAATATCGTTATTGTATCGAACATTTAATGTGGTCCAGATACATGGGCATGACCGGTGATTTGGGGGGTCCATCTGTCTATAAAAAATACCCTAGCAAATCAAGGGAGTGATCAATTTTTAAGAACAGCTATCACCGCCTGTGCCGATGTATAGTCAAAGTCTGCTATTTCGCAGGTTTTACACTGAATCAGTAATGTGCGAGCAAAATTTCTCAAAGGAATTTGTCAATTTTTTTTCGGAAAACACCTAACAAATCGGAAGAATTTTCCAAATTCCGAAAAACCCTAGCAAATTCAAATACTTTGGAAATCATAGGGGAGGTAAACCACTTCCTTCCCCCTTCCCATCGCACATTACTGCATTGAACAGAGTTTCTGTCCGAATGGAGGTCCGCATAATTTGTTTGACGAAACTAAAATGAACAAAACAAAAAAATTTTTTATTTTTAGTGTGGCGAAAATTGTGCAAGAACATGCTTCTCAAATTCGCGAGAACCAGATGTTCAATGCTTCGTATTAGACAATCATGGATATGTTGTCATTACAAATGATCCAGTGCATACGGGTAAATTTTTTGGCGATGTCGATGGAAGGCTCATGCAAAATTTAGTTGCGGAAAACATCTACGAAGGAGTTAACATAACCGACTATCAAGGTGTTTGCACACAAGATGTACCCGAAGGAAGTCCAGCCAATATATTACAAACGGTATGTTGAAATTCAGTAACATTGATAAACTCTCTTAAAAATGATTGCAAATAAAATTGTTGTTTTATCAATTTTTGTTCACAGCCATTTTTATATATCTTCAAATTACTCAAATGGACGATCAAATGGATTGCATGGGTCCTTATACAGAATTCTCTATTACCGGCCAGTGCAAACGACATGTCGGACTATGATGGTAAGCGTTGTTGTTGTGTTGTGTTGTGTTGTGTGTGTCAGTGTTTAAAAGAAAACCGTAAATGTTTTTAGCGTATCTGTCTCAATCAACAGCGACACCATTTCCAATGGATGACAAAATCAAAAATTTGAATAGATCCATAATAAAACGCACAAGGCTATTTTCGTGTGATAAAACGATAAAATTATACACATTATCACCGACATTAAAAAATAGATCGAATCCTCGTGCCCAATCGTGCGAAACACAGTGAGTGCAAACAACGTGCAATGACCTTTTTTTTTAAATGATTCAATTAAAAATGTGTGTTTCGCTTTGCTCATATATTTCAGACCATTTGTTGTGATGCCGATACCATATAGTAATTTAATATTGTTAATTAAAGACTTGAGCTGTCCCATAGTCGATAACACGGATTTCAAAATGTCACTTATAGATGAACAATATATACACGTCTATAGAAACACGTGCGATTCAAAGGAACAATGTTTAACATGTTACAAAGCAACCATTAAACTTAACCGCCGACGACCAACCAGCTGCATTAGTCAGAATAAAAATGTAAATATTTATGCACAATTATTTGATATATCAGTTGTGATTGCATTGTTGTCTCTCGTTTTCGTTTTAATCGATTTAGGAATCGGAAATTCAACAGTGTGGACACGGGAACACAATATCAATCAGCTTGATTCTTCTAGTCTTAGCAATGTTCATCGGTCAAATTCTTTAACAACTATAACACAATTGTATTTTTTTCCAAATTGTATGATATAAATTCTAACTTGAAATGGGTTTTATTTAAATAATTTTCTCTATTCATTTAAGAGCTTTTTTTTTAATTTAAAATCCACAAAAAACATAGTTTTTCCATCAATTTGTTTTTTTATTATTATTATAGAGATTTATGTGACCAGCCCAACACTTCTGAATCATATCGACGGAATTTCCAAAAAAAAATAGAAATAAAATGTCACATGCGCAAAATGTAATTGCAAAGAAAAGAACGTTCCGTAGATCTTCATTCACAACATTAGATCAATTTTCGCTACAGAATCCCATTTTTATATTAACATACTTCGACGAATAGTAAAACCATTACATTTTTTTCTAATTGCATGTACGAAATCATCTCTGGCGGTATGTTTCAGAGTGTTTGGCCAGAAAGTGAAACCAAAATATAATTGTAAAAAACTTTTAATTGAAAATAATGTTCACCCATTGAATGTCCCCCACTGACAAAAAAATGTCAGACAAGTTGTAAATAAAAAAAAATCTATATCTTGTTAAATCCCAAATTCCCAACCGTAACCAACAAATTTCGTTATATTTACAAAAAATTTTAGCCAAATTCCAAAAAAAAAACTTTTTTATACAAGTGGCAAGTCACTTTCACACGCGAATTTGATATATATCATCATTCTAAATCGAAATCGACAAAATTAAACTTCCATCGTCTGAATGAAAAGAATTTTAAAAAACGAAGAGCGAACAAGTTCTGTTCTCATTTCGGCGTGGAATTTTTAATTTTCTGCATTTCGATAATGGTTTATAACTTGATCTCTATTACGTAGCATGCATCCTTCGAAAATCGGTTATATCGTCAGTCGCTTAAATATTAGATTATAATTGCCATTGCCATGCCGCCAATTCAGTTACCATAATAATTAATACAATTTTTAAAATATTCGAGTATACTTTTTAAAACGAACAACAACAACAATCTGTATGCAACACCTTTTGCTCACAAAAATATGGTCTGATGCCCACATGCGCGCGTTATATCACATTGATTGAACACATCTATATGGCCAATTGCAGCCGTTATGTTATTGTCTATATTTAATATTGTTTTCATTCCATCTTTTATTTAGAAATATTTTTTTTCGTTTCCTAAGAAATAAATTGCTAACTATACAGAAGAGAGATTTCAAGTTTCTATATATATATTTCACACTAGCAGTCGCTAAAATTGTTGTGGGTTATTTCCCTTTTTGAAATATATGTAAATCAAATTTATAACAGATAGAGTTTGAAAAGTGAATACAGTAACAAAACTATATATATGCAGATGTAACTAACTGAAAAGTGTGAATTGGGTGAATCATTGTTCGATTTATGTCGTAAATATTAAATTGTTACGATTTTGTTTTGCAAATTCAATAACCATAATAATCAATCAGTTTATCGATATATTCTAACGGCTCTCAGTTCTCTGTTAAAGAGGGGCTAATTTTGTTAGATTTCTATTTTGGTTTGATCAAACTTTTCTTCAAACATTTTAAATGGTATTTTTTATTTGCCGACTAAAAAAAATCGAATAGAAACGCATATGTAATGACTTAAATTTATTCAGCAATATGTACATGATATAAAGCCATTGGAAATTTTGTTTGTCTCCCCATTTAAATCTCCAACATAGTTCCAATAGTTCAACCTTTTTTAAAAGTATGATTAAAACGAATTAAAACCGATTTCATTATTTTTCTAAAAATAATTAATTGAAAAACACATTACATATAGAACATTTTTAAATACCAATCGAATGTGTAAAAAAAATCAATTTCAAAAAAAGTGTTGAGAACAATTTCAAAACAACAAAAAAATATATACGATAAATCTTAAATTGTAATTTAAACGTGACAAAAAAAAAAAAAAAAAAAAAAAAAAAAAAACTGTGTAACCCCATTTAGTATAAACGGTGTGGTGAATTGTCAGTGTAAATCATAGGCATCGATAATTGTCATCGCCCTTTTCCTCATCCACGAACAACAAATAAATAAAAGAAGAAGAATTAGTCATAATTTGGACCAATCTAGATCACGTCACATTCGAATATTATAGCGAATCATTGAACATAGCAACAAATCAACTTACGAACAAACAAAACAAAACATAGTATAAATTGAGCCATTTGCGATCAGCAAATAAACAATAATAACATACTAATTCTTTTTTATACTGAACCGTATTTCATTTCTTTGATAAATGCGTTCATTTTTTTTCAAATAAAAAACAAAACCTTGATTGCAATTACAATCAAACAAAGCGAAAAAAAATCTAGTTTCCTTTTCGAAAAATCCGATTTCACTGACTGACCGTATTTTTCCCATGATACAAACACACAAACACACACACGAACATACACTCACACATACACACACATTCAAACAAATGAGAGAAGAAACAGTTCCTGCATTTATCGTTTAGAATTTCATTTAGATAGAAATCCGTTACGTTTCCATGTCTGAATATATGGCAGATAAATGAGAAGACAAAAACTTCTTTGGTTTAAAACTTCGCGTTGTTACAAAAAAATTAAAATAAAATAAATAAATGTTTTACGAAAAAAAAAAGTAAATTATTTAATGAAAAGGAATTATAACGAAAAAAAACACACACAGATCTTAACTCGAGCCAAGATCCAAGGTTGTACTATTGGTAATTGTTGTTCATCTATTAATAGCTGCCGAACAATTGGCTCGAGGTAAAAGATGACTCTTTCTATGCTTTAGTATGCATTAAGTTGAATGCAGGGCTTTTCATCTGTTTAGAATTTGTTGAAGAAGAAAAAAAAAACTTAATAAAGAAAGTGATAAAATCGAAATTGTAGTTTAAAAGAAAAACGAAACAAAACAAAACATACATTGAATTAATATGAATTCCAAAAACTTTCATTGTGAAGACGAAAAAAACAAACAAACAAAATAAAGTGCATTTATGCTGAAAAGATTCATCTATATGATCCATATGTGGTCTGAATACTTGTCAACATATGTTCTTGTATTTATTTTTTTACGAAAACACTAACAGGAAGCATCGTATATATACGCTTGGTTTGACGGGCATGGATAAAATTTATATCCGTATCGGTGGCGGATTCGGTTCAAGTCATCTTCCGTAGAAGTAATGACATTGAGCCATATTTAAGCCCGAACTAATATCTTAGCCCAATATAATGACTCTATTAAAGTGATATGATCCAAGTACATTGATACTTAATACAAATGGCCTTCTACAAACCGACATTCAAAATTCCCACTGAGTTAGAAGTCAATTGTTTACACGTTTGAATCATTTGAGTTGAGAAAAAATGAACGACAACCAGAATTTATTTTAAAAAATAACTATAAAAAACATCAACGCTTTTTAAAATTCACTTTAATTTCTTTATTTGATATTTGTATGTGCAACAGCAATATGATTTTCAACGAACTCCCTGCGTTCAAACTTTTTATAACATTCCAAACATTGAAAAATCGATTTTGTATGATGTGCGGCCCAATGTCTCTTCAGTTCAGTCTCATTCGATACGATTTGCATGCAGTTCTTTTTTGCACAGTGCAACGATTGTGATTGTTCATGGCACTGTTGCATGTGCAAACCAATTGCATCGATCGAATATAAAACAATGCGACAAATTGTACATTGAAATGCATAATAATCATCCAATTTGAATTCAAAGTGTCTACTTTTATTGTGGTATCGCAGCGTTGACTGTAAGAGATCATAAGAGATTGATTGATTTCTTTTCATATTTTCTTTGCAATTTGAAATCACTCACCAAATTATTAAAGGTCGAATAGCAAAGGCCGCAAATCAAATACATGTCATTTATACGATCTGAATGGCGATTCATTTGATGACTGCTCAACATTTCTCTTGTCCAAAATATAAAATGACAGAATTTACAACTGTAACCAATGTCTTTCGAATGACACGGATGATAGGATGCTTCAATATGTTCGCTGATATGTTGCCTTGAATTTGAAAACAAATTGATTTCAATTGAAAATATCTGAATAAAAATTCAGCAAATTACCTCATTTTTCCTTTGGCATTGCAGCGAAATTCACAGAACGAACAGCCGAATCTCTTTTCCGATTGAAATTTATGATGGGAAGTTTGATTGTGTTTTCTCAAACTTCGATTCGATGTAAATATTTTTGCACATACATTACATCGAAATTCCGGTGTTTTCATCATGAAACCATGTCTTTTATGCATATGCATGGCATGAACAAATTTCGATTTTGATCGAAAATCACACAGTTCACATTGATACGATTGCGATTGTGATGAGCGTGGTCGATCATTTTCTGAATCGGTCGAATCATAATCGGATACAGATGAGTATACATATTTGACTAGACTTGTATCGAATGAAGACGAATACTCAATGTTATCGATGCCATCGATGAAAATCTCGGCGATATTCTCTTTCTTCCGTTTTGTATCGCAACGTATTTTGGCGTCATTCATTGTTTTTCTTTTATTTTCACCCGTTTTTAAATAGCTTAAAATGGACATCGCATTAAATCGATGCACAATGCGAAAATGATCAATCAGCTCATTTAAATTGGCCACTTTTGAACTTAAATTAATCGAACAGAAATAACAATGATTGTTTGCATTTAATAAACTGGTGACTTGGTGCCAAGAGCATTGCGATGAAAAATTATGTACATGATTGAAGTGTATTGCATCGTTTAGCTCATTTTCGCTGGGACAATTATCACAGAAATTCAGCCTGGATTGAGTTACATTGGGGTGGCAGTCTTTCAAATGTTCGCTGTACTTTTCGCCTTTGTTGAAATAGTGTTTACAATTTTTGCAGTAAATTTGATCAAGACAATAGATTTGATGGAACATTTTTGGAACTGACCACGTATATTTAAGTTCACAATTCGAACATTTCTCATTCGCATCAATAATGCAATTTATAATGATGTTATCATTTATAAAGCATCGAATCAACGATTTCATTGAACACTTATGGTAGTACAGGTAATGTAAAAAGAGTTTATCCAACCGATCCACTGATTTGTTGTCATTGCATAAATGGCACGAAAATTCATTTTGTTTCACCGGCACGGTGAACAGTTTTATTTGACATGAATTGTCAGTCTTGTGCACAAATGTGTTATGTTGTTGTTGGTCTTTTATTGAAATCAATTGCTCGCACAGTGTGCAGAGTTTCATTGAATGTACAAGAGATGCGTGAGATAGATAATGCGATTCGGTTGGAAATTCATTCGAACATTCGGCGCAAACGTGTTTATCATTTTCATGATGTATTCGCTTGTGATCGTTTAGCAATTGCTCACACTCGAAGAGTTTCAAACATTGAATGCACGGCAATAATTCATGCATTATTATACAATGGACAGTCAACTGAAACGGCGATGGAAACACGTTATCACAAATCCGGCATTCGTACGCATCTTTGTTGGTTTGAATTTGCATCGTATTCAATTCACCCAAGAAACTTGTCATCTTTAATCAATGTTTCTCTATCTATCTATCACCCTGTCTTTCTCTTCCTAAATAAATCAAAGAAATTATTACCTTTCAAATTCATCGACAAATCACATTTACTTACAACTTTCTCTTCGGTTTCACTTCAATAAGTCGAATGGGTGAAATGCAAGCACATTGATCATGTTTTGATTTGACATACGACATTTCAAATGAAATGTGCCCCTATCGGTAAAACCACACATTTCGGTTTGTTCGGTTTACACTCTCCAGCCGGATATTTGGACCAGCGGCACTCTTCACTTTTTACGGAAATCAACATAAAAATCGAATTTTTAGCATCATGATGAAGATGCCTTTTCAGCCGGAAAATTGCAAGCATCGAGAAGCGCAAGACTATATTTTACCAGAATCGAAATAAAAACCTTTTATTTATACAACATGATTTGTTTTAATTATTATGATTAATGGTCAGTAAATGAATTTTTTCTAATGAATTGTTTGTCATTTTTTTTTTCACTTCTTTGCCGACAGGAAAAAAAATGAATGCAAAAATGTTATTATTGTACAGAAATGTTCATTCGATTTATTTTATGTTCATTTTATTTTAAAATTTATTTTACGGTTTTCCAAAATTGTTTTATTTGACAGTGTGCTCAAACTGGCGCGATTTCCTCTCAAGCAACGACATCTTTCAAATCAGCTGGCATTTCGGACTTTGGATGTTTGTTTTCAAAATGCTGTTTATACGTTTTTGGATCTGGCATTTGTGACTGGAAATAATTATAAGATGAAAACAAAACAGATGTGTGAGAAATGTAATTAAAAGCGAAACGGGCAAAAAAAGCAGTTTAATCAACTGACACCAATGTCAGTTACAATATATTTTAACTTACTCGGCACACACTGCAACTGATGACTAATGCCTTTTGTGCGGCTTTCTTTTGGTCATTGGCACTGTGTCCCGCCTGTTTCTTCATTTTGGCCTGTTTTTCTTGGGCCTTTGCTTGCGATTGAATTTTTTGATGACCACGTGCCATATTCTGTAAATTCAGAAATAAACGTTAATTTCTATTTACTAGACATTTTCTATAGTGGATATTGAATGGAAGTGAACGCGATTGAGAAATGTGAGACAAAATCGAACGAAAAATAGAAAGTATTCGCATTGAAATAATCTAAAATTGGATCGAAAGCAGTATGGATTTCGCATTTTTCAGAATATCCCATTTTATCTGTTGCACTTTTGTTTTATTCAACATTTATTTACTCGGCTAAATATAAGATGAGATTGAAAAACACAAGAAGTACTGTTTTGTTGTTTTTTTTCGTCGCATTTTATCGTTGCAATTATGATACTTGAAGTATGTGAATTGACTGCAGCTGTTTTAACAAAAATGACTTTCACCAAAGTGCATTACTGGGATGTAAGCTATCACCTCTTCACTACCGTAATGCGACTGAATGCATACAATTCAACAATAAAAAATCAATTAATTGTGAATAACGAAAAGAATGAAAATGAACCAACAAGTAATTTGTGTCATCACATATTTATATGTAGCTTACTTCTATATTGCGTTCTCTTTCGGAGAAGTGAAAGAGACGTCATATCCAATTTAAAATCTAGTATACAATATTTGTGCGGTTTAATTTCTCAATTGATTTTACCTTTGTGGATTTGCGTTTAATAAAGTTTCAATGGACTAAAATAATGTAACGATTATTAGCTATTTATGGTGATATAGAGAACAATAAAATAGAATTAATTTCCCGTGCGTTGAAGACAATGCGATACACAACAAATGTCTGTTCGTTGAAAGTAAATATTCGGGTTGACTAATGTAACAAAACACACACCATCAGTTGCACGCACATTTTTTGACAGCTGACACCATTAAAGACTTTTCAAACAATCGGTTTCGGTTGGTGTTGCCAACGTTGTATTACTTAAACACCGGTATAAATTTAAATTTTGAAATGCAAGAAACACAAAAATCGGATTTTGAATTTTTTTTTTCAACATTTCGTTTCGTCAATCATAGTTGTTATCCTTTTTTACGAATTTTAAGAAAAAATCCTTTTTTTCCCAATTGAACTGAATTAAACTTGAATTGAATTGTTTTACATCATCGAACATATGATTTACAAAAAAAGAAGAAATAAAAGAAAAAGATTCAAAATAATTAAATTAAAGAAAACGACCACTTAAAATGTATTTACTTTTTTTATTATTTTTCGTTTTGATAATTTAAAAAAGATATATATATATTTATAAAAAAACAATTAATTTAAATAACATGAAAAATATTTCGAAAAAAAAATAGTATTAAATGATTAAACTTTTGTCATTTGAAAGTATGGTATCAAGTGTATTGTCATCGCTGTCATGAATTGAACTATTAATCCATTCCGAATTTTTTGTTAAATTAAATAGAATATCATATTTGCGTTGAATTTCCAATTGAATTTCATGCAATTCCAGTTCATTTTCAATAATCTCTTTGGCATATACATCCAAATTGTGTTGAACTTCATCGATGCACAATTTCAATCGTAGATTTGTCATGTATTTATTATTTTGATTGCGATATCGTTCGCATTTCGTTGATAATTTTTTCATGAGTTGCTCTTCATGGTCAGTAAGTTGTTGCAAATCATTCATTAGTTTTTCAATTTCGCCTTGGATATTTTCTTTATTACCATTTGTTGGCATTCGACGATGACTTTGGATCTGCCGTTGATTGATATTTTCACATAAATGTTTAATAATTCGTTTATTATGGCTATTTTGTCGCAGTGCATCGAATTCCAATTTTCTTGAAATGGATTTCTGTTTTGTCATTGCATTCGTATTGCTTACACTGACCTTTGCAGCGGCGGCAACGGCCAAGTCAAGCTTTTTATTTAAATAGTATTGTCGATACTCAACATGTACGTTGCTGTCAGTATCATCGTTATTGATACCACCAGTGCCATCGTCAATCATAAGAAATAGCTCATCGTTCGACAGTGGTGTTGCGTCAATTTTTGATTGTCGCTTCAATTTGCCATGCGACACTTTGGCGATAATTTTTTTATTTTCATCATTATCCAATGAACTTTTGTCGTCCAATGCAATTGAATCCAATCGCAATGTATCATGAAGAAATGAATTCAATAATGAACTTGGATATTTGTTTGATCCACGATCCCGTCGCGATGTTAACCAATTTTGCTCATTTTTTTCCCTGTATATGTGTGTACATTGAAAGAAAAATTCAATCAATTTGATTAAGAATGATTTTGCTGATTTTGATTATATACCTTAAAATATTCAATTGTTGTTTAATGCTTTCGCCCTGATGAATTAGCCGTTTCATTAGTTGCTCAACAGCGATCGATCTTCGATGACGCTCTTCCTACATTCACCCCCAAATGATACGAATCAATTGAAAATAAATAAAAAAAATATATATTAAACCAATTAAACGAAATAGATAATGGACAAACAGTGGTCAAATAGAATAATAATATCATATTATAAATCGAAATTCATCAATCTAATTGAATGTTTTTGTCTGTTTGCTACTCGAAATCGAGTGAGAAATAATGGAATTGTGTGCTTCGAGTGTCTTCTATTTTGATTAGTATAAGTTTATTTTCGGGATGGAGGGGGTTAATGAATGACATCGAAATTATATCAAATGAAGGGAACAAAAAATGTGTATTTTTTTGTTGTCAAAAATGAATACGCATAAGAGAATGACAGCGAAAAAAGGAGATATGTTACCGAAAAATGAATCGTAGAAATGATTGCCTACCTGTTTATGTCGTTTATCATAGTGATTGGCGTCGCCATTGTTGTCGTTACTGTAGTCACCAGTTATTTTGGTTCCAGCCTTGTTTTTATTGATTTTTAGTTTGAATTTCACCTAAAATAGAGCAAAAGCACGAAGATGAAATAACGAAAATAGACCTGAACCGCTAAAGAAGTAATTCTTTTTACCGAACCCACCGAACACAAACACACATCATAGGACGTCATCATATTTATGTACTTTTTTATATATAAGTATTTTTCTTCTTATTGTTTCCCTCGTCCACTATTTCACTGTGTGTGTATTCGGTTTAGTTCATTCGTTTTTTTTTTTTAATTTTGCTACTAATGCCGTTCTTTTCGCATTATCATCATGTAAAATCACTAAAACTATATAATTTGGTTTTAGTTTGCCGTCGAGTTTTTGAATTGATAAGACCGATGGACGGACGAAGAAAAGCGGTTATTCGGTAAACAATATAAATGACGACAAATAGATGAGGGACGGTGGTGGTGAAAGGTGAACCATAACACAATGAAAATCCCGTACAATAATTTTTTGGTGCGTGTTTTATATTCTCTCATGTTCCACACAGTCCCTTCGCCAGCAATGTGCGATCGATCGCAACGTACTTGTTACCATAAAGTTCCCGACCAGAATCGTAATGCATTTCACACAAAAATCAAGCGAAGCTTATATGCTTTTACCAATTACTATTCAGGTTGCTTTGAACCTGCACACACATACATGCTTTACTTCATTTTTCATTTACAGCTCGTTTTTTTTTTGTTTCGTTCAGAATTATTGCATGGGCTAAAGCTGACTCTTTTTCCATGTTGGCTCTTTCAATTCAATAATTTTGATTATATAGTTGTCCGAATCAAATGGAATAATAATATTAATAGGGCGTATCATGAAAAGTGGTAAGAATTCATGAGCAACAAAATAAATGAACGTGTGTGTGGTTTTTGGAAACGCTATAATTTTTGCGTTTCTTCTATAAAATTAGCGGTACTTTTAATTATTACAGCAAAAGCATTAGCATAACCCAATTTATTTTGTTCATTTGTTCTCGGCAAGTAACAAACCGATGATAAAGCGATGAAAATCAGTGTATTTAGAAAAGACGCCGTAGTAAAAGCAAAGAAAATGAAGTCTATTGTACAAGCATGCAGGCAATTTAAGTTGAACAATTCCATTGGCTTGAACATTGGAACAGAAAAAAATGAAAATAATACACATAAAAGTTTGATACGAAAACTAAACGACTATCCATCGCGGTTCGAATCTACAAACACTATAAATATACAAATACTTTATTCAATGGAATAAAATCATGAGCAAATATGCGCATACCTCATTTTGAGCGCTACCCCATGCCATCCAAATTGGTAATATTTTGGTATCCCCCGTTAATGCTTGTTCAACGTCACGCCATTTTTCAGTAATCACATAATCATTTAAATCACGCGACGCTGTGACATCTGAAATAGGCAAAAGCAAATGAGAACACAAAAAAAAGTTGGAGAAAGAGAGTGAGTGAGAACCATCGCACACAAATATCCAACAACCACGAAACTACAACAAAATGGATTTTTTTTGCTCTGTAAATTGAAGTTAACGAGAAACAGTATGACGACAAAAAAAATACCAGTAGCACACACACACTTACCATTGAGGACACAAAATTTGCCTTTTACGACATAAAAATAAAAAAAAATAAAAAATGCCATTTATTAAAATTGAGGCGACGGCGTCGAATGAACAAATGAAAGAACGAACGTTAACTGTTACACATATAGTGATAGAATGAGTTCCACCAAAACCAACAATAAAACCTGACGACGTCGCGGTGTTGCAATGCTAAAGGGGACTGCACATTTCTTTTTAATCCTCGATATAGTTTTGCGGATTTTTTTCTCTTTAATTCGTTGGAAGCGTTACTTGCAATTAAAGCTCTCACCAGAGTGTATATTTATTTTATATAGTTTTCGGTTTTTTTTTCATGTTCAGAACATATTTTTTTACGTTCTTATTATGAATAAAGTAATAAGTATGTGCATACATGTGAGGATATATAGCATAACTGATTTCATCAAATCGTTGTTTTTTTTCGGATGCAATTATCATGACGTGCATATACACATTTTGATACACGTAAATGCATGTTTTAATATCGATGCAATAATATGTGGCTTGGTCATCGTTTTAATTGTTTCCGTTTCGTCGAAATTAAAAGAGCGAGAGAGAAAGAGAGAGCGAGCGAGAATAGCCCGTCGTGACAACAATTGCGCTGTTTTGGCGCTGTTGTTGTCGCATTGATCGACTAAAAGTTATGTGCGCGGCGCGTAAAATATAATTTTCCTACCCTACAATAATTAGGGAGCGTGTGTGTGTTTTTTTTCTTGTGCCCGAACCGTGACATGCAAACAAATCTTCTTTATGGAAATCATACTGAATGGGAAAATAATTTCTTTCTTACACTCTGTAACAATTAACTCATTTACACAAACAAGTGAAACCCCCAATAATGTATACTGGTGTGTGTGTGTGTGTGTGTGCACATATTGACTCGGTAAAATCCAGCTCATTATGTTCGTTTGCTCGTTTGCTACTTCATTTCGGACATATCATCCGTAATGACTATTTATGTTCGAAATGACTTAGTAACAATTATGCTTACCAACTCTACTGCTGTTCAATTCATCGTCAATCAAAGCTTGAATCGTATCCCTGCATGTTGTACTGTTTGTAATGCCTGATACAAATCTTGGTTCGCCACAAATCCAAATTGGTATTTCATGCTCTACCTACGTCATTCATTCGGAGGGAAGAGAGAAAAAATAAACCTCAAAGTTATTTCAATATTTTATTAGACTTCTACACTTAATTCTATTTTTATAATGTTTGCGTTGAAATGATTAAGTTAGCCAGACAAATCGAACAATTTTTTTTTCTTCTACATATAAGGTCAAATTTATGTTTATACATTAAATGCCATACATTAGGAAGAGAATTGATTTTCATATTTTATTTAACTCTCATAAATAACCAAAAAAAATGGATAGAGAGTGACACACACTACTTAAATTGCTCGATTATATGTATATTTTCCATTCTGTCTCTTTAGCTCACCTGCTCATAAATCACTCGATCGTATTTGATGGTTGATTTGCCCGGCCGAATTATTTCATCCGTATATGTGTTGTTAATACAGATTTCAATGCAGTACGGTTCTTTTGGTATGGGACTGTAATGACTCAATTCGTTGGATAGTTCGTCGGCATTTTCATGTAACAATGTTGAATTCTGCGGTGCCATTTATGTTAAGCCAATTTTTAACCAGCTGAAAAATTAAAGTGAAAAGAAAATGTTTCAAATATTAGCGCAATAAAAATGTACCACCAAAATGAAATGAAACGATCGAAAGAATCATAAAACACGGAATTGCGAGACAATGCGAACATTTTTGCTTAATGTGAAACGTAGTTTTATACATTAAGCTATGGAATAGTAAGATATATATATATATATATATGTTTGTTCAGTGATTTTAGAGAAAACCAGAAAAGATAGAGAGTTCGGGTTTTCGGCATTCGATAGGGCATAAAAAACCCTCCAGACGTATTTTTTATTTTCCCCATAAGTGCTCCCCATTTAATTTTTTCATTCATGGACCCTCTTTTTTGGATTCCACTTTGAAAAATATTTCGATTCCACTCACCATTTATTGAGTGGATAACGAATGGATTCGGGTGGATTGACGTTTAACCGTAACTTCATTGGTTGGATAAAAGATGGAATAAATGAGTTTTACTTCAGTGTTAATTTGATTACTTTGGATCTAGATGAAACTTGTTGAAAAAAAGTTGGAGACACCCGCGGTACCAAATTGTTTTAGATTCCTTATAAAATTACCTTTCAAATGGTATATAAATTATGGAGTTTCAGCAGGTTTGATGGCGTTTTACGCTGGCCGTTTGGCCGAAATATGAAAAATTGTGAGAAAAATCGGCTTCCGAATCTTATTGCAAGCAACCTAGTTCTATGATTTTGATGAAACTTTGCCAGATGATAGCTCTTGAAGCCCTCTTTCCAACGGTATATAGCTTATTAGCCAATCAAACTTGTGAATGTGTTTCCCAGGTGGCCGTTTGAGGCCAAATTAGTGAAAATATTGGCAAAGTCAATTTCCAAGGGAAATTTATTGAAGATAAGTTGCAGTTAAGTGAAGATAAAAATTGTTTTAGAATCCCCATAAAATTACCTTTTGAATGGTATATAAATTATAGGGTTTACCAACTTTTTGAAGTGGCAGTGCATAGGTAGCCGTTGAGGCAATGTGAGGAAAATATTGGCAAAGTCAATTTTCAAGTTCTAATTAATTTTAAAAAAAATGTATCTTTTCACTCAAAAATTCAAAATATTAATAGTACGGTTCAACGTTTCACATTAAGCTCTACGGCCAAAGACTGGCAGTGTATATTACTTTGTCATCGAATATGTATATATGATATATTTAGTGAGTTGAACCATATTTTTTTAACGTTTTTACATCGATTGAAGGTGTGCGCTAGGTCAACGTTCACAAACAATATGCCGAACATTGAAATGGAAAAAGAAAAAGCGACGCGGCATTTCAAAGCAGTAGCAGCAGCAGCTCAATTTGGTTCTGATAACAGCAATTGCGAGAAAATAGACAATAATATTATATAGCAAAGAAAGGAAGTGAAGAACACTAAAGTGGAAATTTTATGATACCCTCAGTCTGGTTTCAATTAATCATTTTCATTTATATCATACATTCCAGTCTTAATTCCCTTCTTCAGACTTTAGCTTTGTTTGTGTGTGCGCTCCATTTTGGCTTGTCAGCCAACATAGTGGCTCATTCAAAATGTGTATTGGGAACCGAAAACCAATTATTCATACAAGCGAATGAAAAACAACACACACACACACACACATGCAAACACAATATCAAGCCGAATGCATGCAATCTCAATGTTATTACCTTTTGCGGGCACTTTTCACGACTTTCACGTAATTCACATGAAAGACATTTACATTGTTCCTTTTTCCATCGTTCCTTTGGTATGGTTCCTTCTTTTTTCTTTCTACATTTTTTTTTGAATTTTCATTTCGACAGTAGTTGGTTGTAGCAAAAATTTCCATGGAACATTATGCAGCAGTTGTTTTCTTCCAAGAAACGAAGGCATGATTTTGAATGCGATAGCAAAACTTTGGACACTAAACGCCAAAAGACGTGGTGCATTTTACCGGTGTTTGTGTGTGTGATGCATATGTGTATTCGTTTTCAGTTCATTAAACATATTGTGTATTCAGCGAAATCGTATGTATAGCAATACATCGTATTATCCGTTTTGTGACTGTGCAAAAAAAAAAAAAAAATGAACGACGAACGAAAAAGAAAATCATACGAAATTCTATATCGGAAAATTTAAATCGCTGTATTCGTACGAATATGCGAAAATGTATTGCATTTTCAAAGCAATAAACGTATTTTACACGCTTGATAAATAACGCAAAAGCTTTTCGACAGGAACCCAAAAAAAGAGAATCAACCGCCATAACATGACGCTTAAATTACACTTGAAGAATATCAGTACAGTATTTGAGCATTTTAAAATTTATTTTGTGTGCCGTTTGGTCGAACTTCCTCTTTAATTTCCAATTCATGCATACATGATAAAATCGTTCCATTTACATTACAATCGATTCCATTATTCATGTGAATCAAACGGTTTTGAATGTGTTACGCTTTGTTTTTAGAAAGAAAAATACTTATTAAGAAAATTTGAATATCCTTTGAAACAAGAATTGGATAGAATCATTCATTTCGTTAATAATAAAATGTCCCATTTTTGGTTTGTACAGTGATTTGCTTGAGTGCTTGCCAAAAAAAAACACGAATCTCACTCATAAATGTCGCCAATTGTATTTGACGAGAGAGAACAAAAAACAAAACCAAAAATAAAGGAAATTTTTGAATTGAAATCATAAAAACGATTTCCGAATATATGCGCTCATTGTTTAATTGTATCAACATTTTTGTTTGTTCATATTGTATATGGTTGACTAACTCCGGCGACAAACCCAAAGAGACAGAGCGAAAAAAAACCATACGGAGTGTCTAGCTGTACTACATTTTGCTTGTTTCGGCATTTGAAATTGATATTGCTTGCACGCATGCTATACACCCCAGCGCGCAACATTTAATATTTCTGAGTGTATGATTGTTTCTTGTTACAAAAACGGAATAGATGAACGTAGATAACGTTTGACTATAATATTTTTCAGTTTCTCCCTGTGTGCCTGTCTCTGTTATTTTCATGTTGAATCTGTTGTTGTATTTTTTTTTTCAACTGATATGTCATGCAGTCGCAATTTTCATGAAGAAAAAGCACGCTATCCAGAATGAAATATGACGATCGTAGATGAAATGACATATCAAACGAAAAAGTAAAACTGGTTCAAATGGTAATTGAGTGAGTGCGATTACAACAATTAGAACGACATTTTCCATGATTTTTGTTGTTATTGTTGGTTGATGTTGCTGCTAAATTCGTACTTGACGCTAGATGTTTTTTGAGTCCATTAATTTCAAATTATACCCTCGAAATTTATATGAACTGAACAAACATACAAATTTAACCAAACAATAAACGAAAAACAACCCTGAAACGGAATACGCATATCGTATGCAGTGAATTTCTATCTATGGTTCACTTCATTTTTCGTTCGTTTGTGGAATTTTTCTATCTATGGGTGGTGTTGTTTACTTTGGTTGTTGTTGTTCGATTGAATCATGCATGCGTAAGGTACGGTCGGTTCTCATTGACACAAAATAACTGACACCTTATCTTGCAAACACACATGTGCTTCAAATCGATCTGTATGCTCCACGTAGTATATGACATATAACGTTACGATTTACATGGCTTTCCAAGTATTTTCCAGTTTTTTTTTTGTTTAATTTTTTTTTTAATTTATACATTTTGGCATCCACAAACACGCGATGTTCCGATTCCAATAAATCGAATGCATTTGACATGTACCATTTGTTTATTGGGTGTCGTGTTTCCGGTCTTTTTACGTAATCGAAATGGTTGAAAAATGAAAACCAACAACCAATATGAATATTTGAATCGAAAAGAACTTATCTAAAGTTTGAATGGAAGAGCTTTCGTACAAAAGCTCTTGACCAACAATTCATCGATCAAATCGTAACATTTTCATAAATAAAGTTATCCAATTCGTTCACAAAATTATCTCTCAGAAATGACACTTATGCCACAAGTTATGTGCATGCCAATTGAGATAATAAATAATAAATGAACGGCAATAACAGTTATGTGGAAACTTTTAAGAGTGTCGGACTGATTTTCTACCGCATTCGCTTTAATCGTATCAATAATAAATGACATTCGGTTTGTTGATATAGTAAGTCGGTGTTAAATTGTGGCACGAAAAGATCCACAGAATTTTAATAATACAACTGTGAATTCTCCCAGTGCCAAGATTTACCACCGCCACCGCCGTTACCTCATTGTTGTGAAACACTTGTAGTCGACGTTAAATGGTCATTCTCACGTGTTTATATAAACACATACACGAAAAAAAACAAAGACACACTCAAAATTAACCAAACAACTTTAAATCGAAATTGTTTCGCCGTTTTCTTTGTCCAAACAGAAGGCATCGATGTGTTGTTTGTGTGTGTATATGTTTTTATAAAGAATAAGATCTAATTAGATTGAACCCGTGTTAATTCGAACCCATTGGTTCTATGAACTTCCTTCGAATTATCGAACTTGAAATAAGCGAGAGTCTACTGTATGTATATCCTCGATTTCTTTTCAGCAAGAGAAAGAGAAAACCAAACAATGATCCGCTTCAGATATCCAAATGAAATATTGTGCGAGTGACCATTGGTCTAGATAATGTGCAAATGAATGCGTGTTTGAAAAAATAAAATGAATTAAAAATGCATTTTTTTTAAAAGTCACTCATTTTTTTCATATTCAAGTGGCTAATTTTGTATTTCAATTGGCGCTTTTTTTAAAACACTGTCTTATCATACGTCTCATCCAAAACCCGATATTTACTGCCTACTTTGAATTTCCAAAAACTTACAGTTACAATGAATAAGAAATGTTCAAATATGAATTCAAGCACGAAAATCATTCGGTTCAGATCGTTTATGTAACCACCGATCAATGATAAAAAATATATGTAAATTATCGAATTTTGGACAAGAAAAATGTTCAAACGAAAAAAAAAAACAAATTTGGATTGGTCTTTTGCCTACGTTCTTTTTTATAAATTGAGAATAGTACAAAATTCATGTGAATAAATGTGAAGCAAACAAAAAATTGCACTTACTTGTACGCAAAATGAAAATGATCCATTTGGAATGAAACTTTTTTTTTGCAAAGTTTATAACGTTCTTAACAAACGTACTTATAAAGTCGGAGTTAAAATCACATAATTATTAATTTAAATGCCGATTAACAATTCTGTTTTTTTTTACAAATCAAAAAATAAATTAAACTTTTCCTTTTCATACTGATCATTGCTAATAATAAAACTTATCACACAGAGAACTAAAAAGAAATGCATAGAAACTGAATGAAGCAAACGAAAATCGAAAATTAAACGTCGAAATCAAAAGAGTTGTTCTATAATGCAAAAATGAAAATGCCAATGTAAAAAAAAACTCGCGAGCACCAAACAGTGAACTGCCTTCGGTGACTAAGTTTTATCGAATAAACTTTTCAACACTCAGAAATCGAATATTGCGCGATACAATTCGTTTTTCTTTTGTTCCGTCGACATCGAGCGCAATCAAACAAAAGTTTTGGTTCGTGGGGCAATTTCTACAACAAAAAAAAAATAGTGTTTTTTTTTTCTCTCGTCCTGTAATTTTCTGTACTTGTTCGTTCTATACTTCTCTCATCGTCCCACTGTACGCAAATGTTCGACTCGATTGAGAAATGTTTCCTTTTGTACCTTATTTGCGTTTTGAGTGTGTGTTAAAACAAAAATCAAGCAAAATTGCTTTTAATAACGTGCGATAAGCCCACTTTTCTCTCCCTTTCTCTCTCTTTCTCTTGCTCTACGATACTTTTATTTATTTGGTTTAATGTATGCTCAATTGATATGTATCTGAGCGTGTATAAGTATCAATATTCAATATATGCATATACGTACACGAAACAATTTTCCGTTTTTCCTTTTCTTGGCGGCGTGGTTAATTCGTACCCCACGATGTAGTTGAGGAAGAAAGATTATCGCCCGCTAAGCCAACGAATAAAAAAAAATGAACCAAACAACCAATTCATAAGTATGAAGAATTGTAAAGCGCATAAAAAAACTATATCTATCCCACATGCACAACTAACCGAATAGAAAAATTATTACAAAAACACGTTGAAAATGTACACAAAAAGGCGGCGAATAAAAAAAATATCGTTGAACGAAACAAAAAATAGCGGTGATTTTGAATCGGTAAGAGTTAGTTTAGAACGAGAAACTGAAATTTTTTTGTTTGGTTGTTTAGTATCCAGAGTAACGTGACCGGTATCCTTGACAACAAGTGACTAACTAAAACTATTTTGATATAAAATATATTGGCCGTTTGTCAGCCGTGAATACCAACAAGGGTTTGGAATATCCGCTGTGTGTTTCAGAATACGCGTGTTATTTGGCTGTTTCCTTTTGCTTTCTATTTTATAGAATCGGAACTGTGGTTTTGGTACCTGTGTATTTGTGCATACGCAACGGTTGTATACTATTTGATTGTTATGTGCACATATAACTTTGTATGTGTGCTGGTCGGTTGTATGTTTCTTTCTTCTTCTTCTTTTTATTCTTTCATTGGTTTGTTCGTTTCATTGCTCGTGCATATTCATTTCTTTTTAATTCGTACATATGCTCACATGGTTCTCTCTTGCCCGTTTTTGGTTGCATCTGTTTTTTTCAAGTATGCAAGAGACAGCTTCATTGGAGCGAGTGTGTTTACGGTCACCGTGGTTTCACACATGATACACTGAACATAAATAGAGAGAGAGAGAAAGAGAAAAAAAGTGAATCATTAAAGACAATAAAAGCCAACGTTGTATTCGAATAATATCGGCAAGTGAAAAATGAGAAATTGAGAGAGAAAGGAATAGCGAATGAGTGGAGGTGCAACAAACATATTATACAAATAGATGGTAAAAATTTGGTGCAAATGTATTGTAGTGCCATCCACACAAACTGCATGTTTCTCTTTTCTTTATTCACTACATTTTTTCATATACACATGATTCAATGGTTCTTTGGCTATATTATTGTAATCGGTTTATTTCATTTTCGATGAATATTTTGATCGAGAGCGTAAAAGGTGTACAAAGGTACCTGTTCAGCTGTGGATAGTACGTGTGTGTGTGTTCAATTCAGTTTGTGCACATGTACGATGCGTACGAATTAAACGAAACGAATTGAAAACACAATTGACGACGCTTGGCGACTAGAACAACCACCGCTATATTATTATTATTATGCTTTATGTTCATTTCATTCTGCCTAAAATATCGCGCGCAATTTATTACAAAAGTAATGGTATTTTCTGTATTTCATGTTTCCACCCAAATGGAGAGCCGAGAAAAAAAAAAAAAAAAAAAAACCGAGAATAATATCGTTTTCGATTTAGAAAGAAACCGAAAAAGAGAATTGAAAACGACAGACTCGGAGAAATCCGGCGCGAACAAATGCCATTTTCAGACGGCATATTAACATATGCCCGAATTTGAATTTTGTACACACAATGACTGTGTTAATTCGATATCGACTTGACTATACAATATATGATTGTTTGCTCATATATCGAATCGGTGAACATGCACATACATTCAATTTGAATATTACCCATTTCATAAGGGAAAATGAGGTAAAACATCTTTTCACCTCTCTCTTTGCATTGGATTTATGTTTGTTTTTATGTTTCTATTTTTTTGTCCGTCCCTCAATATAAAAACACCTTTTGTGACATTTTTTTTTTTTTGTTCAATCGTTTTTCATTCGCACCACGACTCTATGTCATCAACGAACTGCGTTAATTTTCAATATCATTTTTACAAATCGAAATATGGAGATAGAGAAAAAGTATAACAACAGGCCGAGGCCTATGGCAATTGCGTGTTATCGCTGATAATCGATGAAATGACACTGTATTACTCAAAATAATCGGTGCCGTTTTGGTGTAGGGTTGTTTATTTGATAAAGGCATTATAAGTAGCGGTTATTGGATGCCATTAGTGGATCGAAAAAAAAAAACTTATTTTTTTTGTTCGTTTCATTTTTTTCCAGGGCGACAACTGCAATGTGTCGTGCTCACTGAGCATCGACAAAATTACACTTTCCGTGCATTTTAACAGGCGACTTTATTTATAAAGCCACAACAAATACATTTGCTCCAAAAATTCATTTAATATGCACACTTGCGGTACGAGTGAGAGAGTGTCAGCAAAAGGAAAAGGATCCGGGCACACAAAAAAGGTGTTACTTACAATGGCATATTCACTGAAAAGTGTCGCAATTTAATTAATATGTGAATTTCATGCAGTTTAAATTCATATTAAAACTATGTGCTTAAATTATTGTGATCAACATTATTATGTTGTGCACTGATCATTGTGGTGGTTTATAAATTCAATTTTGAACTGAACATTATTTGTGTCATTTGAACATAGTTTAGCTACTTAGGTTAAAATGTCAATTTCTTATAGCATTTGTTCCCTTACACTCTTTTTGCCGTTTTTTTATCGTCCTTTTCAATTTGATACAAAGACACTCATACGCATACACAAACACTCATATACACGCGATCAATCTAAAGCCGCACTAATTATGAATTCGAGTGAATTACACTTGTTTCTCGTCATTGTAATTTTCTCCCCTTTTTTCTGAAACGCTTTCAATTTATATTTCTGTCGATTTGTTTACACATAGTTCATAATCATATGCATATCTATATAAAAAAAAGAGAATACAATCAACGTTTCATTTTGACTTTTATGCATGCCGGTGTGTGTTTATGCATGCAGACATCAATTTATTAGGCAAATTAGTTTTGGGACAGAATTCATGATTTTCACCCGACAAAAATGAACAACTGTCGGTTACGATATAATACCATTTTATTGACATAAATAAAATGAAATAATAAAATTCGCTTCTGAAAATCCGAAAATAATTCCCGTTTCAACAAATAACAAATTTCATTCAAATGCTAAAATTTATGATTCGAAATTATTTTGAGCTCAATGTGCCTTGCAATTGGTCACTGTCATCAAATAATAAATTTTAACGTGAAGTTACCAAACATTTGGCATATTTGACAAAATTACGTGTACAAAAAAATTGATTTACTTTGGAATGTGTTTTTTTTTTTGCGAAATTCGTAAGTCCATTTCCTTCTCTCATTTATCCTATGTAAAACATTTCAAATAGTAATAAAAATGCCATCGTTTCGATGGCAAAAGCATATTTCGTTCGGTAGTATTTTCTTGTCAGCAATTTGTGATCCGTGGCCATAGTTCATGGGATTTATTGCGATTTTTTTGTGTGTTCACAACATCGACATTTGGATTATGTCCAACACATAACCCGCTTGACCAACCTGCCTGATTGGTTGAAATACTCTATACCACATATTCCAGAGTCTATAGATTTGTGAATTCTCAAATAGAGCTATTGTTACGACAAACTGAATGTATGTTGTTTCATAATGTATACAAAAATTGGCACATATGAAGCGAAAAAGGTAACGTTGAACGCGGCACACATATATGATACAAAATTGAAATAATGGTGATGATGAGATACTTGAAAATGATGATGTGTTGATGTGTTCACCATGAACTTGTGCGAAATATTTAAGATGCAACACATTTTCTGCATCACGTATTCTTCTCTTTCGGCGCATTGTTTTCATGCGATACGCATAAATGACCTAAATGTATACATTCATTAAGAGGACATATGTTCGTTGATTAAAAAACTCGAAAATGAAACAGAAAATGCACGCTGGTCGTTTCTTTTATTTAATAGCTCTATTGTCCGAATGTTCTAGAATTAGAAGAACTTTAGCGTATACATACTTTTCTCATAAATACCGGAAGCATTCAAAATTCTATTCCCTTTGATCATAACTACAATACAACATGTCTTAACTACTTCCACCTGCCGAATTCAAGCAACAATCTTCTAACTGTTTTTTTTTCTCTCGCTTCTTATTATTCTCTCGTCTTTCTTCTGTCGTTCAGTTATGGCTTGCCGTTCCCTCTTCGTCATGCTCTTCTTTATTCATTTTCGTTTGGTGTTTCCATCTCCAGAGCAGCGAACAAATGCACAGATGCAATTCACCTGATAAATGACTTAAACATATTGGAGCCGGCAACATGTTAGATTTTAAAAAACCTAGACTATAGCCAACGAACAAGTCCATTTGCAATGAGCACAAGCGTATATGTACGATATAAATGCATACATATAATGTATAAAGGTGGAATTAAAATTACGAACAACGCACAAAAATAAAACAATTGTTTCACGCTGTGGTGGTTTTTACGGTGTCGTTCCTCAACGTTTTGCGCTATCCTAAACTAATTTAATCGCATTGGTGCATGTATGCGCGTACACATTCTGTGTCCTAATATGTCGTATACAGCTGCTGGCTTGTCGTCGCCGTAACGACTGTTTACAACATTCAATTGTCTCAACTTAAAATTGCTTATATTTTTATTTGTACGAGAAAAAAAAAACAAACAAACAAACAAATCTGACTTTTATGCGCACCGAATATGAAAATTCAATTTTTATTTTTCACGATCTTGTTGGAATACGTTTCAAATGCCAACGAATTTTTCGGAACTTTCTCGTCAATTTCAAACGGAATCGTTTCTTTTCATTAAAATATCTCATTTTTAATTAATTCAATAAGATTTGACAAACACTTTTTCACACGAAACATTCAGAATATCCCCATAGCCATTCAGAATATTCTTATGTAATTGTTTGATGTGTTTAGTAACGGCGTTCGATGAACTTCACTTTTTATTTCTTTTTGTTTTTGCTGATATTCAAATAAGGAAGAATAAATGAGAAAATATCCAATGGCGACTTGTATCAAATAGAACATTCATTTGAAGATAAAAACAACAACTATTTGCTTTTATGGTCCAACTTTGCAGCTACGGTTTGTAGATATTGTTAAAAAATTGAGTAGCTTATGCAATTTGTGCACCGAATAACTTTAAAAAATGCTCATTTTTGCACATATTTCGAATGACCCAAATATTTTTTTTAGAATAAGAAAATCGACGGCATGTGTCAGCAAGTTAAATTAGTTGATGCACTCAAAATTGTGGATTGCTACACCAACCATGTTGCCAACAATCCGCCAATTATTCTATATTACTGTGAAAATAAAACACTAAAAAACCGCATACTTTGTCATTGATTCAATGTTTATTAACAATCAATTTGAATTTATATTACAAATCGTAATAGTAATAGCTGCATAAGGCAATCAGTTTAATATGTACTTATGTTAACGGAAATAATTTCGACAAGAAAAAAAAAACTATTGATATTTTGGCTTATTACATTTAACAACTTTCGTTGATATTTGCTGAGCATAAAAAAATAGAAAATACCTATCATCTTTCGTAATATATAATCTGAGGTGTGGTCTGAATATTCTCGCAAGAGAACATTGGTTTTCAGACTATTAATTAACAAATTTGCGCTTAGATGGAAACTTAACAATTGAATATAGAGTCATTCGTATTTATTGTAAATAAATCTATGTAGAAGTTTTGGCAAGACAACAGGTAATATTCACTAAATATGTCTATGTCATATATTGAGAAAAATGTCATATCAAAATATATTTTTATATATATCTATATATATATGTGTGTATGTGTAAATATGTATGTGTATGTATCAATATATAAAATATATTTGTGTGCAGTTCACATTTGAATGAGAATTTTAAATCATACAAGAGAGAACGAGAAGTTTTTTTAATTTTTCAAAATATTCCCGATTCTATTGCGATAAACCAAATAGTTTAAGTGCGTTGAAGGCAGTTGCTAAGGCCACATCTTCTGGTTTTTTGCTCATTAGAGCTGCAATCATTTCTACGATTGCCGGTAAACTACACGGTTCGTTTCGTTGAAATGTACAATATCTAAAAATGAAAAATAAAGAAAATTAATAATTTTTCTCCACGTTTATGGTAAACAACACGTTTATCCACCTGTGCAAAAATAATTGCGATCGTTCGGTAATGCCACTTTTTACGTGTTGTGGAAGCTTGGAAGCACGAGTATTTGGATACATGAATGGTGCATCACTTTCAACCAAAATTCGTTCCAATTGTAATTCATTACTTTCAAGTAATTTTCGAACACCAGTGTCCGATTTATCCTGTGTGTGATTGAGAAAGATCATTAACCATTCGGTCTGATGTATTTTAATTGATAGTAAATGTGACTTTTTTTTTAAATTTTACCTTACAAAGATAGCCAGTAAATCCCAAGTAATAGCCTCGAGACAAATAAACTAAAGCCTCTTCTGCTGAACCCATGAAACCACGAATTACAATCTGTGGAATATTTGGAAATCTAAAAAGTCAAAAACGAAATATAAATATTGATCACATTGTAATTTGCGCAAAAGACGTTGCAAAATGATGCGTAATTACTTCGAGAGTATATTCAAAACATCTTCCTGAGCAGATCGTTCATGTATCAAAACTGGCTTATTCAGTTTAACGGCTAATTCTAACTGTTTTTCGAATACTTCTTTTTGGACATTGGGCTCGGAAAAGTCTCTTTGGTAATCCAATCCACACGGGCCAATCGCCACACATTCTGGCTGATTTGCTATTGATTCGTATTCAATCCAACTCTCTGGCTCTTCAATTATCGATTTGGAATCAAGCGGATGAATACCTGAAAAAATGCGCAAGATAAGATTTTTTTTTTGTATAATGGATTTAAAAAAAAAGAAAAAAGTCATACCTGCAGTCGAGTAAATTGTGCCTGGATAAAGTCTTGTCAATCTTAATGCCTCTTTGCTGGATTTCACTGATGTACCCGGAACCATTAACTTTTGAATACCTAAAATTGTAGCCGTATTGATAAATATTTGCTTTAAAATCAACGCCAATAAATAAACGGGAAAAAAATGCCACAACAAATTCAGTCTATATACATATATTTCCTTATCTTGTGCATTTATCGTGAAAACAAATTCCAAAGGCTTAAATTCTTTGTTAGTTGTTTGTCATTTTGAAATTTATTATAAATAAATTCCGACAAACGGCTATGAATCGTCTACACCCATATAGTGTGCGTCAATGTCGGCTTCATAATTTCGCTAGATAACAAACCGTGCCCGACGAATTTGTTATTCTGATTCATACACAATATATATTATATTTTTGTCTATTTTTAGCCATCTGATGAATCTCTGCAAAAATTCAATGTGTCTCGCAAAACAATTGGCGATACGGAATTTTCCCAACAATTGGCAATTGAATGGTTCATTGTGTTGCTTTGTCATTTGATATGACAATAAACATCTGTTTAATTTCAATACTTGTTATCAAATCATCATCATTGATAATTGTCTCAATTAATATGCGAATTGATGAGCGGCGTCGTTGGTGTTGTATTATTTCATCAGTGAATGAGACGAAACGGTATTGAAAAGGGCAAATTCTATACACCGAATATTTGATGAACACTGACCTGAATCCTGGGCGCGTTGTACGACTGCATCAAGATCACGGCTGTATTTTTTATTCGTTAAATTTGCACCAACATCAATTAATATTAAATTCTCATAACAATGTTTCATATTATCGACAACGCTTTCTTCGTTTGCTGCCATTATTGCTTGATTTCACTCTGTGTGTCGATGATTTCTATTCTAAAAATTCTGTTTTAAGATATGCCGTGTTATTACACAAATACGCACAACACACCGCGATCAAAACAACAACAACAACAAAAAAAATAATAATAATTTTCAAAATTATTTACACACAAAGAAACAAACAAATAAAAAAAATGATTTTATTACTTTTCGACTTGCTGAGCCAAAATGGTAAATAAATGATCGAATTGTTTGAGTGAACCTTTCGTTTATTTATTTCAATAATCACTGTATGCTCTATACATTTGACATTCGAATGGTCGCTTTTTCACACACACAAACCGCACCATATATCTGTCTCACTCTAAATGAAACAAATCGTTGAATCTAGAGCAGTAACCTCTATGAATGGAAATAGTGAAATTTGATCTAGAAAACTCATTTAAAATTATGATTTGAATTTTTTTTCATTATTTTCATTCATACAATTGATTTGGAGTGATAATTGAGAAATGACATTGGTATTTATCGGTTGTTTTGTTCACATATTTTCGAAGCATAGTTGACAGTTCCTCATGTAAAATATTAAATATATATGTATTTGGTTAAACGTCAAATGACATAGACAACCATGCTGTCAGTGAATTAACCAAGTATATTTGCTTGACTTGACTATTTATTTTCATCGATAAAGTGTTGATAAAATTCAAAGAAATTTCTTAAATAATACACAAACGGAAAGGAAAAGAAAAAAGACAAGTGACTGACATTAAAATATGGAACGAATTATTTTTAATAAAATGTTGTACAAGAATCCATTGACGAGATTGACCAACCAATTTGGACGATCCACAATAATAATTCGTCGATGGCATTCAAAAAAAAGTAAAAATATTTCCGAAATTGAAACCAAAAGCGATAACGAAATTGAAAACAACGATAAAGAGAAAACCATCAAAGTAGCAATAATTGGTGCACCAAATGCTGGTAAAAGTTCATTTATCAACACAATCACCAACCATCGAATATGTCCAATATCACGAAAAGTGCACACAACACTCGAACAATCGGAGACTATTATGAGCAGAAAAAAAACACAGATGATTTTTTTCGATACGCCAGGTAAAAGCATATATTTGTTAGATTTTGTTTTTTTCAAATATTTAAATATTCATTTGTTTTACCGTATCCAGGTTTGACCACAGTCAATGAAAATAAAAAATACAATTTGGGTGATAAATTTTTGCGTGAATGCAATGAATCGATTAAAGATGCTGATTTGATTGCGGTTCTGCATGATGTATCCAATTCATATACACGTAATGTGCTACATCCAACCATTTTAGAAGCTCTTATAATACATCCAACCGTGCCAAGCATACTCATTATGAATAAAACTGATATGGTACGATCGAAACGTATTTTGCTCGATTTGGTAAAAATTCTGACCGAAGGTACATTGATTTGTAATGAACGACGATATTTGCCGTGGAAAGGGCGTGAAGAAGAATTTTTAAAGGATATGGCACGTCCGGTTAAATATAAAAATCAAAAATCAGCCGGCTGGCCATATTTTTCGGATGTGTTTATGGTATCAGCGCTCAGCGGTGATGGCATTGGACGCGTTTCAAATTACATTTACAATCGATCAATCGAAAAACCATGGGAGTATCCACGTTATCAGTTCACCAATCAAAGTCCGGAAGATTTAATACTGAACAATGTACGATCGGTTTTATTGGATTTTCTACCAAATGAAGTACCGTATAAATTAAAATGTGAAATGGAACTGTTTGAAGTGAAAAATAAATGCATCCATGCTTTTGTCAATATACATGCAGAAAATGATCGAATCGAAAAATTGATTGCTGGCATTGATAGCAAACGTCTTAAACAAATTTCGGAAATGGTGTGTTCACACATCATACAATTGTATAATGTTAATGTCAACGTAGTGTTGAATGTTGTATCAAAGTACAAACGAAAACCATTGATGAAAAAGGAATTCACATTAAATAAAAGTAATAATACGCATAAGCCCAAACCTTAATTATCAAACAAAAAAAAAAATATTTAAAATAAAATCTTATATTTTTAAACAAAAAATATTTAGATAAAATGATGTAATATAAATAAAATCGCCTTTTCTTTTTTTCATTTTTCCGGCATAACAACTGGCCCAAGAATTTGGTAACACACAAAAAACTATTCGTTCAAATATTTTTTGTACAGTATTCTTCAGTTTCTTTCAGTTAAAAAACGCCAACAAAAATCACAGCGAAAATTAAAAATTCGGATTTAATTCACAATTCCAAAAATATATTGAACAAATATGGTGTTTATTTTCTTTTTATACGACAATATTCCACTTTATTTGGATATCAACAGATAGGCAAAAACACACATTTTTTTATTTAATATATTAAATTAACCAAAAATATGTACTACTATCATTGGTACCAATTGCTTATTCAGAATAAATTTATATGTATTTGTACAGCGAAAAAAATCGCGTCCACACAATAGATCCTCTCCTGATGTTTTGTTGAGTTTTTTTTGGCACTTAAGCTCTTAGCCTGTGATTTATTCATTTGAACTAAACAATCTTAATAAAAAGTAAATATATATAAATTAAAATGTCGGCGACAAAATCATAACGATAAAAATGAATCTCGTTTTTCTAAATACTCGTTGTATCTGAGGCTGGCAAATCTGAAATCAAGAAAAAAAACCACCAATTTAATCGAGACATATAATCACAAATAATTTTAGATGTAACATACTCAAGGAAATCATAGTCAATTTCCGAATGTTCAGCTTGAATGTGACCCCATAGTGACCAGAAGAAATGTGCAACCAAAGCAAATTTATTGACATCAGCGTATAATCGATGCACATATTCGTCCGTAATAACAATTGAGTCATTTTTATGGTAATGTGTCAGGTACTCGCGTAGCCATTCCAATTGGTACTCTTTGGATGGGTATAGTGTGTAGTCAATATCGGTCATACCTTAACCATTAGCAGAAGAAAAATCGATTTTAAACCAGCGAAAAACAACATCGTATTTTGATAAATGACACATACCGGCAAATTCAGTGAAATGATTTCCAATATCATATGCTTGAAAATTGTAGGCAGCATATTCATAATCAATGAATTGTACCAAACACTCCGATGCATCGTATAAAATATTGCCCAGCAGTAGATCATTATGTGCATATACGATTGGACTATTTATTTTGCTTACAACGGCAAAAAGGCGATCAAATTCCGTTCGAAGTTCATCAATGGGCGGTAGCAACTCTTCTCGCCTGCGTAAAACATTTTTTTTTTTCGTCAAATATTGTGTAATTTTTTGAATGAATCGATGACTAAATAATACCTTTGTTAAACAATTAGTTTTTTGAAAGTGTTCCTTATTGATTGCAGAAGTCGATCTACGCGTTGCCGATGATGATGTGTAAATCACATCGAAATGATTCAATACAATTTTGACATGATGTTTAATATCGAATAAAAAATTCATTTGTTTCATCAGAATAAATGAGTTTTTGTTTTAAGTTAGATTTCATGTAGAATACGACTTCTGCAATCAATAAGGAACACTTTGAAAAAACTAATTGATTAATCGATTGCAAACATGGTTCCGTGTGAGTTAAACACACATTTTCAAGAATACCTTTGTTGTTTGATTGGATTGGAATATTTGATTGGAATAAGGTTGAACATCTTATTGATTTTGGTCCAAAGCATTGGTTGCGCATCGATTTTATTACTCTCAACATCACGATGCATTTCAGCCATTCGTCGGGCAATTTTTCGCCAAATTTGCTCATCGTATACATCAGTTTTGGTTAACGGTTTACCATCGGTATATTCGTAGGCCAGACCATTGTTGAATGTTGCCAATAAACGTGACGCAAATCCATATCTGTATAATGACTTGAAATTTTCTATCTCTTTTTGACGATCAATTAATACTTCCGTATTTTTACCGTAAATTCGAATTAAAATCACTTCATATTGATTCAAATTGTCATCACCATCGTCACTCAATGAACTGTCAACGTTGTTATTGTGCTTTGGAATGCAGCATCCGATTAGTTTGTTTGTCGTACCGTCTGTAAAAACCTGTATCAAACAAGAAATTATTCAATAAAAGATCACAAAATAAACAAAACCTCACGCACACACACATGGAGCGAATTCATCAAGGTTCTTCCGTTTCTACAAATAAATTTATTTACTTCATGCGACATGAATCATGCCCAATTTGATAAATGTAAACAAATGCACAGAAATGGAGATGATCCGTCGATTTAATTACAAATTATGTCCATTTTGCTGGTGCATTGAAATACTATTTACATTTGTTTATGGACATTGCCGATAAGGAAAAATCAATTTTTTAAATTTGTTATACGATTTTAACTATCGGTTGGAAATTTTTGAAATCAAACGAAAGCAGCAGATCAGCATTAGTAAATTATGATTAAATGACTAAAAATAAATCGTCAAAAATTAAATTAGCAAAACCATTGTCAAGCACATAAAGCAAAATGTTACAATCAAACGTCGCGTGACATTTTCAGAGGAAAAAATGCTAGTGAATGGTCTTTTGTTATCTTAAATGCACTCGAAAACAAAACAGTAACAACTAAAACACACGATAGTTTATAAAAAAAAATGTAATCTAGTCGAATGGAATCGAAACTGAAAATTACATAAAATACACAAAACTATTTGAACGAACAACGGAAAAGTGTACGGCGATTTTTTGCATTTCATTCAATTGGTGTTTGTATAGTCCTACCTTGAATTGAACATTACTTATTGACCAAAATGGTTTAATACGTTTTAACACTTTCAATGCACCATCTGAAATGTCATCTATATCGATTGTGACCGCAACATAAATTGGATCATTTTCACCATTTTCCCGATTTATTGAAATTGATCCTGGCTGTCGATTTTGATCGGAACACATTTCTAGTTGATTATTTTCACGCACAATTTATTCCGCTTCAATTCGTATGTGATGGTTAACAAAAAAGATTGTTAATAATAATAATAATAACGTAACACACTTTGAAGGTAGGTGTAATCGAATACAAATTATTGTTCAATACGTTCAATGTGCAATACTTAGAAATCGTATGGTGACTAAATGTATACGAAACAAAAATTGAAACGAATTGAAAAGCAAGACACACATACGCACAAACGAAGAAAAAAAAACCGTCAAATTCAAGGCAAAAATTTGATTATGGAATATTTATTATTCTGATAACAAAGTAACATGAATTTCTGAAAAGCGGAGAGTAAAAATGATAAATCTCATCGAGATATCAACAAACGAATTGATATGAAACTACAAACGTTTCGTGTTTCAATGTAAACTCATTCGGATTTTTTTGTTTTCATTCTTGGGTCGCATAAATATAAGAACATCAGACGAGTGTTGTGCTTTTGTTTAGTTGTCTGTTTCAATGTGTTGTTTACTGGCGTCCCTAATAGATCGAATTGTTGTTGCTCGTGTGAGAATGTCTGTCCCTACTATAACTATGTATATTACTCAGTATTAGGTTTTTGCATATAATTGCGGTTTTGTTATTCGTTTTTTTTTGCTTGTATTCAAGAGAGTATCAGTCAAAAGGGAGTAACACTTTGCACGCTACAGATGTGTTGCTCTCTAGAAATATTTGGTATTTTTTCATGTAAATGCACTGCTTTCTGCTTGCATTTTTCTCTATACACGTCTTATTTAATTTACATCTTTACTAACATTTAATGATATGTGTGATAAATTTTTTTTTAGCAAGCAAAACAAATTTCATTAATACCAGCAATTCAAATAAGATTTAGATTGCTTCTGATTTGAATGTTCTTTTTAAATTGCATTAATCAAATATGACAAGCTATTATTATGTTTTTTTCCAAAAAACGCAATATTTTCAATTCACCTCGACTGATTTTGAAGTAAAATTTAAAGCCTTTGCAAAAGCACAAATTTGTTCAAAAAAATGGCAATCAATGGTGCAATCTGTAACGGGATTTTCACCGATTTAATTTGTAATTTATTTGCTTGAATTTTAAAACCGTGATTTACAAAAACAAAATGCAAATTTATAGGAATCTTTCGATTTACATTTGTATCGCATGACAGTCACATTGACAGCTGGAATACAATGAATGACATTACAACAAACACATACACGTGCGCAATGGCCCATTATGACATGTGCACTGTGTGTATCAATTTCAAAGCTGCTTTGTTTAACTGAATGCTCAAGACGGTACACCAAAACACACATGCATTTCAAATATAATCGATTTTTGTTTTTATTGCAGATAATTGGATCCAGATAACAATTGAATCTAAAATTAATTTTAAGTGATTAAACGAGTTGATAAGAATTGTTTTTTAAAAAAAAGGTAGAATTGTCCATGGTCAAATAACATGATTTAATGTGAGCCAAATGAACCGGTTTTCGGTTGGTTTTTGGCATCATTCGATTTCGGTTTTGGTTCGTTTGTTTCACGTTTAGTTTTTTGTTCTGGTTTCTTGTCTTTCACTTCATCGGAAGTTTCACGAGTTGGACGTTTATTTTTTTCACTTTGATCATCCTCGTCATCGGCAACGTTGTCAATATGCTTTTTAGGTTCATCTTTGTCCGTCTCCCGTTTTTGAATTGGCTTTGCTGGATTTTCACCAAATGGTGGGATATCATGTTTTGGTTTATTTTTATCTTCTATGTTCGACGTTTCATGATATGAACGATGTTGATCTTGATTTGATGCGTCCTTTTGATTCGATGTATCTCGAGTCTTACGATCTGATTGTGGTTTTTCTTTTGACACATCTCGACTTTGTCGCTCACTTTTCTTCGGGGGTGTTGATTCGGTTTCACGTTTCTTCAAATGCTTTGGATTTTGTACAGTTTTCGAATTGTTTTGTGATTGCGCTTCATCATTTTTCTTTTGATTTTCAACTTTATCAGCATATGCTTTTCCGGCTGCAATGTGATCTTCGCGCTTAATCAAAACACGCTCTTCAGACTTTGGTGGCGTTTTTTTCTCGTCTACCGGAATTGAAGCCACATATGCAATCAAACACGTTACAAAAATCTAAAAAAAAAGAAATTGGATTCAAATTTTGAACAAAATTCAATTGCGATTCGATTTCTACTTACCAACTTCAACATTTTTACACAACAACTCGAAATGTTCGTTTTACGTTTAATACTGGGAACTGATTTCATGAACGATAAAACGGTTCTTTATATTCGAAAATTTGGTTCGGTCTTAACGTTAAAAAAACATAACTAAGGCGTAGAATAGGAGGGAGTATCCTTTTTTAGATACAAATTTACACCTAATAAAAAATGGTCGATAATTGAAATGATAAACAAACGAACAACAAGAACAATGCTAACGACACCGGTAGCGAAACAGTGTTTGTCACTCATATTGACTATTTCAATTATTGGCCTATAATTTTGTGGTAATCGCAGGATAAAAGATGAGAAAGAGTATATTTACTCTTGCTCGTAATGTTCGATTGACTAAAAACAATGCTAAATCGTTTCTAACATTCTATTAGACAATGTTCATAACTATCATAATTTTTTCAATCAATAGATTTTTACTCGAGTTTTAGCCTTAATTTGTATAATTGCCTAAATAAAATTTAAACCGCATTTATTTAGAGCTCACGAAATAAACGCATCAAAAGTAAAAAAAAAATACCCGAAATGACTCAGTTTGTTTATTTGCATTCGTTTAAGTTCACGTTGTTATTCCACAACGGAGAAAAAAACTTCCGATTTACAACCGCCCATCAATACGTTGTTTATGAAGTACAAATTAGATCTCGCATGCTAATTGGATCCAAAGTCAAACGGCAATATTTTTGTTTTGTTTCGTTTTTGGCAATTTTGCTATAAAAAAATGAAAATGCGTTTCAATTTACCACGTTTATAATTTTATTAACACGATTTATTATATTACGCAATTTTTGAACGCATTTGAATTCGATATTTTAAAAATATGCAAAAAAAACAATGGTAGAAATTCTTCCCGGGAACAAAATACGCCGAATTTAAAAAAAATGCAAGTCAAAGATTTTAATTTCAAAATATAAATTTTCTTACGAAATCGAATTTAAATTCAAGCATATTTTAAATAAAAAATTTAGCTACAACGACATCTACCGCTTATTCAATGAATTAACTTCAATAATTTCCAAATGTCATGTCATGCAATAGTTGATAGTCGTGTCATTATTAGAAGTAAGTAGGAAATAAAAAAAAAAACGAACAACAAATCTCAACAAATTTTAAAGTCGAAAAAAGAATGGAACATCATATAAAAATGTTATTTTATCTCAGCATTTTAACTATATTAGTAGCCGTGAGTATAAATCATAATTTTCTGGAAAGAAAAGCAGTTTGAATTGATTTATAATTTATTGTTGTTTAGAAATGTAGCGCCGATTTCAGTAGTGCCGATTGTCGTCAATTAGGATTTATAAAGCCACACTTGATGTGCTCATCTTGCGATAAATTGGAAACATTCGGTTTAAGCGAATTAAAGTAAGTATATTATTCGAACAATCGATTGATTAATAGCTAATCATTTCTTGTATATGTTTTATCCGAAAACAGAGAGCATTGCCAAGAGTGTTGCGAAAAAGACGATGTGTCATCAATCACAAAGCGATTCCCGAAAGCAATTTTAGAAGGCAATAACTTTTATAAAAAACAATATAAAAATTTGTTATACTAATAGTTTTTGTTTTATAGTGTGCACATGTAAATTCGGGGCGTATCCACAGATCCAAGCCTTTTGTAAGAGTGATCGACCATCAAAATTCCCAAATTTGACCATTAAATATTTGCGTGGTGCTGATCCCATCGTGAAATTACTCGATGAAAATGATAATGTTGTAGAAACACTCTCAATTAACAAATGGAACACCGACACAGTTGTAGAATTCTTTGAAACTCATCTTTACAAAGAAGATAACGATTATCTACGAACGAATCGCATTTAAGAAATAAAAAAAAAAACATTTTTTTTTGTAAATTTTGAAGACACCGAATAAAACATAATATATTGTGAATTTTAACGGCAAAAGATTATGGTGATACAATTTTTTTTTCAGGATTTACGTTGTTTGGATATGCGGATTTTTTTGGAGCCGGAATAAGATTAGTTGACTTTTTAAATTCCAATTCGGTTTTCATGTGACAAATACACAGAAGAATGGAAGGAAAGACAAGTATTGATATTAAATTCATTTTCAATTGCATTCCTACAATCGATTAAAAATGTATAGATAATCACATCTAGCTAAAGGATACTAACTCTCACTACCTTTTCAATTAAAATTGTACATGACGTTGAATTAAAAAAAATAAATAAATATAAAATATCCATACATTATGATTTAAAACGTTTTATTAAATGCTGCATCCGTTGAAATTTGATCATTGTAGGTTATGTACACAAAATTTCCTCGCATTTTTTATGATCAATACCCTTAATCATTTGTACAAGAGATGTGTACGTTCCTGTACAACATTTTTTTCCAAAGTGTACAAAGAAGGGCCTAATCGCTGTGTACCCAAATTTCGATTTTAATGCTATTTTAGATATTCCAATGGATAATACTTCTCGCTAGGTTTAGAAAAAGTACAACACAAAACCGCCAACAGAAGTCATGAAACGATGATTATCGAGATTTTCGGCACACCCCAAAAAATCTTCAAGTTTCTTAGATTTGGTATAGTAATACAGTGATCAAGCTTATGTCCGATGTTTGAACATTCATTTTATCGATTTAACTGAATTTATGCTTTTACACAGATGTCACCATAAGTCGCTTTTAGCTTTGAAATGCTTTGAAGCTTACAAGAATTAGAACGTTCCAAAGAGGTCACCCTTTGCCTGTGCCTCTGAGGCATAAAAATAAAGTTCTTTTAAACTCATTAAAATGTTTGTCCTCGTTAATGAAATCAGTGTAATATCTATCAATTTTAAAAAGACAATTGACGTTGGATTTTTTTTTTCACTTTTATCTTCTTTTGTCAGTATTGCAAAACAAAGACACATTTTTTATTCTAAGCCGGTTTTACATTTCTTCTCTTTTTTTTGCATAAATTTGTCTAGTATTAGGCATAGTCAACTAATATCTACTTATTTTATGGATATAGACACGAATGGAAACACGAAAGGTGTATTCAGGCTGCTTTTAAGTGTAAATCGATTCATTTTTGTTGAAATGTATACTTCGCACTCACAATCAACATTTTTAAAAATCAAATTCACTGATTCATTAACAACAAAAAAGGAAAAGAATCTGAAAAGACGGAGAAGCCAATGATTTTGTTGGATTTCAGCATGTTTTATATTTTGAATACAAATGAATTGATTGTGTGCGTTTTTTTTGTTGTGCACAGAATTTGCGCATAACATTCTATATTTACGTGTTGAACAATATCTTGACCATTAAATTGCTGCTTGCTCTTATTGGCCCAACCGGTGATAAATCAAGAATGAAAAATACATCTCAACAACAGCTGAAGTGCTATTTTTAATTCGGATCTATATTCGAAATTACGGTCAGGTCAGAACTCAAAACATCGGACTATGTTTATAAAAAGATCCTCTTGTCGATAAAATGTTATCAGGTAAAAAAGGGAGGAAAAAATGTGTATGTACTTCGGTTATCAGTGATGAAAAACAACACAATATGCATTATCATCGTGGCAAAAGAATGCGATAAGGCTGGTGTGTTTCGAGAATATGCGATGCGTTTGAAAATAAAAATTACTGTAGATATACGGTTAAATTCTATACGGCTTGCATATAGCTGATAGTTAACAATGTATTTTTAATTCTATGTCTTTGTTATCAGCATATAAACCCATAAAAAGTATTAAAACAACGTACTATCAAACAATTTGTTATCTAATTGAAAGCTATTTTAGTTGCATAATATTTTAAATAAATAATACCATGCAATTCAATTGTATATAATATATAGATTGGGAAATCTATTGTAAAAAGCTACCAACTATTTGGATAGAAATAGATTGTGATGGAGAGAGCGAAAGAAAACGTGTGGAAAAAATCAATGCTAAACCATGGTGTAGATGAATAAGAATATATGAAAATGATGCTTAAATTATATTAACCTTGACCTTTTCATAATATTTCCGTATCGATGTTTTTGGAGACATACGAGCATTTTTCCTCACAATTTATGCAAAAATTATTCAACATACACGTATGTCTCTTTGTGCATTGTTTGTATAAAGAAACATTTGCATATTTGACTCTAGATATATCTTGTGTTCTTTCTCTCATTGAGCAGTTCAATCAATTCAATTTGAATATTTTACGCTACATTTTTACGAGCCCATACAATATCGCAATACAACAACAAAGAATAATGATTTCAATGATGCCGTGCTTTCAAAGAAAACCTTTCCTCGGGTTAGAATGAGTCATGAATAAAAACAAATGTAGAAGAAAGGAGAAACACACAATGGATGTGACAAATTTCAAAAATCATATGATACGTTTGAGTTGTTTACTCTCTAAGTTAACAGTAGTCATGATAATGAACATCCAACATGATTTTTTCAATTGCTTGCACATAGAAATTCTTTAATAAGGCAGTGCCTTATCGGCCACTTAATTATCTGAACTATGACAATCATATAACAATGAAAAAATAATTGAATCATATAACAATAAAAAAGACACAAGTTGTACAGTTCTTAATGATTTTACAAAAAAATCATAGCTCGAATAAACGAAGACGTGGGCTGTTTTCACATACACATTTTAAGTACCAAATATATGAAAGAACGCAGTTCAAAAAAAAAAAAATGAATTCAATGAAAAATGTAAAATGTTGTTTCCAATTATCTTGTTTCGATAAATTATTTTTCTGCAAATCTAGTTTTGCAAATTGTGTTTACATATTGTATTTTGAGTTTAAAGATTTAAATGAAAAATCGAAAATAGATGTTCTGTTAAAATGGATGTAAAAAAAATCTTAGCAGTAATTACCAATTCGGAAGTATGTACATACGAAAAGATATAAAACTGATAGATAAAATAAATTTACAACAAGTCAATTAGCCATATAATAAAATGGTCGTTGAAGAGTTATTGCTTTTCTTAGCAAATATTGAGGAAAACGGCGATTACTTCTTCATTTAAATGTAAATATTATAATTTACTCCAAGTGGCTGTGGTGTATTTTATCACGCCATATTTGGATTTTGTCATCTGGATATTTCAGCTTATCTGGATAACGTTAGGCGATGATATGGAATGAAAACAATAGAAACGATTGTTATCACTTCTAGTGTTTTCACTCCATATCATCGCCTAACGTTATCCAGATAAGCTGAAATATCCAGATGACAAAATCCAAATATATTGTCTGTTCACATTTAAAAAGTCCAAATCATCGTTATCCATTCTTTTTATTTTGGAATTGTTTTCACGCTTTATATAACGTTTGTTTAGAGATCAAGTTCTTGTTCACACATGGGAAAAAATCGTTTACAATTGTTTTGCAATTCAGTGGTTAGAATGAAAATCAAAGCGAATCCGTTTTGCGTGCAAATTTTACACACATCGACCATCTGTGCAAATATTCAGCTTCAGTGAATTTGATCGCAATCAGCACAAATGGAATGGGCTAAACCCTTCATTGTGTTCCCATATTTAGCTTGTTAAAACTTTTTTAGATCTATGATTTTTGTAACACAGCGGCTGTATTTACTAAAAATTGAACAATATTCATTTAGCAGAACGAAAGAAAAGAACGCAGAATTATACATATTGCTAGCGCTTGTAATGAGAATGAGTTATAGACACCAATACTGGTGTAATTTCGTTCTGTGTATATCAGCATCGCTTCGTTTTTTTGCATCCATTGTTCAATATTGTTTATTCAATCGCTATCTTCCGTACACAAACGCAAAAGTGGTTTACATTTTATCAAATAATCGTCTGGTGTTGTGTACATTGTATATATGTGAAGCGAAGCGAAAAATAATTCTATTTAAACGAGTCGTCGAAACCGAATTTATTTTAGTTTGTTGTTAAACAGCGTCAGTTTCACTTCGAATAACTTGAGGTGAGTGCTATGATAGCTGTGTATTAATAAATCACTAAGAACAGAAAGTAACATGCTGACAACAACAACAATTACATTAATCCCTGCGCTTGTTTGACAGCCGCTTCCGATAATTTCTGGGTTTATAATCATTTTTGAAAAAAAAAGTGAAATATAATAAAAACTGCTCTTTTTTTTCACTATGATAATTTTCAAGTGTTATTTGAACGTGTTAAATTGTTGATCAAAAACTGTCAAGCGGTTGCACAAAAATGGTTGTCAAGGATTCCATGTGTTGAAAATTACTGCGATCGCAGCAAACTGGAATTTTGATTTGTCGTCGAATAAAACAAGTTACTCGAAACAAGTTAAAATTGTGTGTGTGTGTTTTTTTTGTTTAATTTCAGAAGAAAGTAAAGAGCAAAATGGCAAATCCAAATGTTGAAGTAAAATATACTAAGGTAAAAAAATAAAAATTCATATTTTAAGTGTCATAGAAAAGTGACGTTTCACGCTATTAATACTAACCGCATCGTTTCTATGTCCATTAGCTTTTCATCAATAATGAATTTGTGAATGCTGTATCGGGAAAAACGTTTCCAACAATTAATCCAGCAACTGGCAAAGTGATTGCCCAAGTAGCCGAAGGTGATAAGGTGGGTCCATTTAGATGTGTTCGATGCGTGTTTTGCACAGTCAACTGATTGAAAATTTGAAGCACAAACATATAAACCAAATAAATAAACAAACAAAATGTTGTGAAACAATCAATTGAAAGAGCCGAATCATGATGATGTTGAAAAAGGAAAACACGTATACAATACACATTTATATTACGGTGTATAAGTTGTGAGGCCTGATTCGTAATGAATCAAAGCGATTTTGTGATTAAATTGAATGGTGTTTTACTCTTGTTGATTTTATTTCTGAACGTCTGAACATATTCGTTTTGTTTCCTTTCATGTCTCATGCTTACATGTTTATAGGCTGACATTGACCTCGCTGTGGCCGCTGCTAAAGTAGCATTCAAACGAGGTTCAGTTTATCGTAATTTAGATGTATCGGCCCGAGGAAGACTTTTGTGGAAGTAAGCGAAAACAACGATAAGAGTCAATTACTTAACATGGTTCAAATAATTCATTTTATTTGTGTGAATGGTTTTAAGGTTGGCCGATCTATTTGAACGCGACATGAACACACTCGCCAATTTGGAATCATTGGATAATGGTAAGACATTTGACAAAGCGGTTGCTGATGTATACGGATGCATACTTACACTCCGTTACTTTGCTGGATGGTGTGATAAGACGTGTGGAAAAACTGTACCAGTAGATGGTGGCAACTTTGCGTATACACGTACGTACAAGTAAACGATTATATTCGAGACAATTTTAAAACATTTTTTTTCTTCTTTTTTTTTTCCAAATAGGAAAAGAACCAGTGGGAATCGTAGGTAAAGACAATTAAAGAAGAATAATGAAATTTGATCAAATTTTAAAAATGGGATTTTTATATTTAAATATAGGCCAAATTATACCCTGGAACTACCCATTGCTAATGCTTGGTAACATTAAATTAAAATTACGATTTGAGTGAGAAATTCCAGAATGTAAAATTGAATTTTATGATTTTAATTAGTGTGGAAATGGGCGCCTGTACTAGCAACCGGTTGTGTATCTGTATTAAAACCAGCTGAACAAACACCATTGTCGGCTCTACACGCTGCCAGTTTGATTGTTGAAGCTGGCATTCCCCCAGGTATGATATTCATATTTTTTCTCATTTATTAGCACATTTTCAATGGCATTTTTTGCTGTCTTTTTTTCAACAGGCGTATTAAATGTAGTGAATGGGTATGGACCAACAGCCGGTGCAGCTATTACAAGTCATCCGGACATCCGAAAAGTGGCATTCACTGGTTCCACTGATGTTGGTCGCATTATTGCAAAAGCGGCTGCCGATTCGAATTTAAAAAAAGTGTCATTGGAATTGGGCGGTACGACGGGGCGATACAAGCCAAACAAAACAATGTTATTTTATTTTTTTTAATTTCAAACTAACTAATTTCAATTTTGATTTCAGGTAAGAGTCCTTTGGTTGTGATGGATGATGTTGATGTAAAAGAAGCGGCTGCGATTGCTCATGCAGCATGCTTTGAAAATCACGGTCAATGCTGTTGGTAATGTGAAATTTAATATATTATTATATTATAATTTTCTTCTCTCTTCATTTTAAATATCAACTTGATTTTTGTGACCCAGTTTTCAATGAGAAGAATGAACCAAATTTCTAATATGACACTTTTGGAATCAAACAGCCACTTTCTATCGAATTTCTAAGATTGGCGGCATTTGCAAAAAAAAAAAAAACTCAAGCCTCTCTTAACTCGTAAATCAAATTTTTTCAATTCAACATAATCATTTCATCCTTCAATTCAATTCTAATTCACATTGAAAACGGTCTTTTTGCGAGATAAACGATCAAAATCAAATTTCTACATTGGCCAAAATAAATAATTAATTGAGCTAACAGTCTGATGTTGACTTCCCACTTATTTTGTTGCGTGCGATTAACGATTTATTTTTGTCCCTTTGTTCATAGTGCTGGCACCCGCACATTTGTGCATGAGAAAATCTTTGATGATTTCGTTGCCGAAGCAACACGTTTAGCAAAAGAAAGAACCGTTGGCAGTCCATTCGACTCAAACGTACAACAAGGTATATGTTAAAATAAATGAAACAAAAAAAAAATATAATAAATTTTCAAGAGCACAAAAATGTTTTGCTACAAAGCATATCACAACATTTGTCATAAACAAATAACAATTCAACACCATTAAAATACATTGTTATAATATTGTTTTAGGTCCACAAATTGACGATGAAATGTTTAACAAAGTCTTGGGATACATTGAATGTGGCAAGAAAGAAGGTGCAAAATTGCAAGCCGGTGGTAAGCGACACGGAAATATTGGATATTTCATTGAACCTACAGTTTTCAGTGATGTAACTGATGATATGAGCATTGCCAAGGATGAGGTAAGAAATGTCTATAAATAAATATGTATTGTGTGTTTTTGTGGGTTTTTCTGCTTTCTCACTTATTCGAGCAAAGGAATTTCGAATAATTCAATTTCAAATTCCACATCGAAGAAAATCATTTAATTTTTTTTTCACCTTATCTTTTGAAGATTTTCGGACCAGTGCAATCTATATTAAAATTCAAAACCTTGGACGAAGTCATTGAACGTGCAAATAATACCACGTATGGCTTGGCTGCTGGCATTCTCACCCATAATCTTGAAAACGCATTGGTCTTTTCAAATGCCGTCGAAGCCGGATCGGTTTGGGTCAATTGCTTTTTGGCTGTCACGTGCCAAACACCGGTTTGTATTCAATATACACTTCATTGTCTCCGTTGTCGCCCATTCTGTCTCTGTCTCCCTCTACCCCCGTTTTGCACCTTAATAGTTGTAATCATTTTGGTATTTTACACTTCACAATTCTTTTTCGTTTCACTTTTCAGTTTGGCGGCTACAGACAATCTGGCTTGGGACGTGAATGTGGGGAAGAGGGGCTTGAACTCTATCAAGAAACAAAGACCGTTTCTATCAAGCTTCCAATCAACCATTAAAACATTTTGCATAACATACACCCACTTTTTGTTTTCTTACATGTAATCCGTAGATTACAAATGTAACTATCCACATACAAAGAAATTAAATAGAATTTATGCATGAAAAATAACAACAGCAACAAACATTCTTGTCTATAAATTAAATTTATGAAAATATTTGTAATCATGCAATACACACTTACCATTTTTTTTATCAATAGTATTAACTGTTGACGGTGTTTACTTTCTACTTTGCATTAGCGACAACAATATCAAAATTGCAACGGCTGATGCCACGGGTGTCAATTGAATATTTTTCATTTAAACATGAATAACATTGAACCATGCTCTCGACACTGGCGCGTGTGACACATTGCGACGCGTCGCATCTTGTCGTTTGTTTGTTTTTGGCTCCTGAACCTTTCTTTTCTCGGTGAACTTGATTTTTCTTAATAGCGCAAAATTGTTAAACTGTATAGAAATCGTATTGCACAAACAAATTATGGAACGAAGACACATTTCAACAACAGTTGCAGCAATATCTGTCCTATGTTATATACACTATACAGGGTGTTTCAATTCTCCTTTTGTTAACCATTTTATTTCGTTCAACTAACATTTTCACCGATCCCTTATTGTGGTCTTTAAACAATGGAAATTCTTTGGATATTAATTGTATATGCTCTTCATTTTAAAGGATTTTTTTTTTATTTAGAAAAGGCAAGTCATACAAAATTGCAATATTCACGGTCGAACGACGAAAATGGTCGAAAAACACATGCCAATATATGATTCAAAATGTGATCGTGCTTGGTGCTTGGGTGTACCCTATTTGTACAATAGAAAATTGTCATTGGGCAAAAGGTGTTAAATGGCTGATTTGATTACAGTTTTTGAGCTGTTGTTTAAGTTATCATCAGTAGACATTTTGTTATGCGCTACTTAAATTCCATGTCTCACAAGCAAAACAATAATACCACCAGATTCAAGATTAAAACTTCACATGAACTTATTCATTCGAACTTGTGCTCCAATCTATTATGTATGTGTAAGTCAAGTGTAAAAGTGGCCATAATCAGAAGAAATTGGATAAGACGATGGAATGGGATTTAAGTTTGGTACTCATTCGAATTTATTGAAGAGTTCTCTGGTACACTTATTTAACAGACACATTACATGCTAAATTATAGGCAATACAATTTGTGCAATGTTTTACCACCATGAAGCCAAAAAGAATGTTTGTGGATTGTGCCATGCATATGCGTGCGTGTGTGAGCGTGTGTAAGCGTGTGTGTGTGTCAAATTCAGGCGAAAAACAAAACTTGGGTGGCATAAGCTGTGACTGCCTTTAGTCTAAGTCTTAGTGTCGACGACAATACCAACGGGGCATTAAATGTATATTAATTATATTGTGAACGCGCCAACATAATGATTCTTAAGCACACATTGAAGAATCGTTCATTCGAAAAATAAACTCGAAGTGGTTAATCAACAAGTCGACCAAAGTATATAAACATCAGAATAAATTATTCAATTCAGTTTTTATATGCTTGATATACATATACATACGTGCTCATGCCTGGTAACGCTTCACCATATACACACACACCATCGTCAAGCGGATGATGATGAAACAACAATTTGTTTTTCACCACATGGATCTTTTTCAAATTAATTGAAAACTTGGACTTTAATAGGTAGAATAATTCGCATTCTCACATCAACGGTTGCATGCGCATTTGTCTTGGGTACACAATTTTGACACGAATATCACGAATATCAGTTGAAGCGTGCTTAAAACGCAAGAAAAAAAGATACATTCGCACACAACACGATTCATCTCACAAATCCAAAAATACATACGCATAATTTAAAAGGCAATGAGTAATAACAAGTGATAGTACGTGCGTGCACAGAGATTTCCCATTAATCCAGCAACATTTAGTTTGAGCTTCATTAAGTCTTTGTTGGCAAATTTATTGGATTCGGTTTAGCTAAGTTTCATCGTTAATATCTTGATAATATGGATGCACATCGCATATGCATTTATTTATTTTTTTTCAGCGGGGGACAATGAGACAGGATGATGAAGAAAGTGAAAGAGAGAGAGAGAGAGAGAGAGAGGAATAAAGAAGGTATCAACACTCTCGATCTGAATTCCTTTGTGTGTATACGTTATTTTGGCAAACGGAACATTTCGAGAGAAATCGTTTCTTTTTTTTATCACATTAGATGTCTTGCATATACCAATTACAACATACATTCAAATAGAGTTGGAAAGTTTATTGAATAACGCTGTATAGTCAATCAGTGCCCCTGGAGAAATCCTTTTCCAAACTTTTTGTCAAAACTGTTTTCCATGTGATGTTTCTAACTTTTCGGTTGTGCACACATTATTATTTTCAAGAGAAATTCCTTTATTCTCATTAGAAAAAACCGGAGGCGAACCATTGAAAGCTATACAAGCACTACGCTAGATATCTAACAGGACTTAATAGAGTGGATGCTATTGTTTCAAAGATGAACGTCTGTCTATCTCTCTCTTTCGTTCTCTCTGTCTCTGCGATGAGGTTTGTGCGTTCCATTTACATACGCCATTCGAACCAAAATAAATTATAGCATTTTAATGAAACGATTACAGTTGCACTTAACAAAAAAGACTACTTTCAATTTGTTCCGTCTATTTAAAGCAACGAGTGCCACTATAAAGAAGGGATCCCCCAAAAAGTTGTGAAATAGTATTACTTTTGTGTATTTATTAGTGTGTTTGTAGTTTGTTTGTTGTTTGTTGTTGACAAATATGTTACCTGACGGCCAAGCTCATGTGAGCAGACCTTTGCTCGAGCTAACTGCACAGTGGCTGCTCCATAGATTGAAGCCATTCACCAGAACCGACTAGGATCGTATCCGTCGAGTGAACTACAAGAAAAAAAACAAAATTTTAATCATAGTACAGCAGCTGATAAAAGGTAACTATCGACAACCGAAACTGTTCAGAAAGCTCATGCTTTTTGGTCTACCATTTTGTGTTCATTTCCGTTTTATGCCATTAGCATTCCGTGTGTCTGCACATCCTGTACCCTGCTGGAGTCTTTCGACTCGACTGTTTGCATTCTCGAAATATTTACAATGCAAATAAACAAACGAATGATCAAACGAAGGGAAAAAAATAAACGCATATTTTCCAGACCATATCCCATTATGCATGGTTTGTTTAATACAAAGTCGAGTATTTAGTATATTAAAGATTCAAAGAAGGCAAAAAAAACCGCTCAAGTATTTTGCGCATTTAGATTTTTCTAAAATGAATTTCGGATCATCTGTTATCATGAATTTCGGATCATACATCAAGTTGAAAATAATTATTTCACGAAAATTGAAACCATCCAAAATACTTTTTGTCCGAAATATTTGCAATTCAAACGACAGATAAAATATTAAAATGCGTAAAATTTTGAGTTTATTTTTTGTCGTTATAATTGAAACTATCAACTATTCAATTTAATTTCAACACGTAATGTTGCTTTTTATTTAAATCGAGAAAGACACTGAGAATGGAAATGATTGAGAGAGAGAGAGAGTGATGACAGCGGAACGATCATACTAGCACATTTACAAGTCAATGTTCACATGGTTTCCACACCATAAAAATCACATAAAATGCACGAAAATATTCTATTTTCCATGCGAGTATAAAAGTTTCTATTTCTCTCCTGTACACTGCAATTTCAGTTGTCTGTTCAACTCAGTGTTTGCACTGTTGTATCGTTTCATGTATTCAAATGAATGGTGTCGTGTATGACTAGAGCTAGAGCTTTTGAGAACTGGAATATATCCGGTCAAACAATGGTCGAATCAACCGCAAATTAACAATATATTACCATACAAAATGTAATACAAAGTGTGTATCGAAGTGTCGACATTCTTTCATTAAATTAAAACCATTGTTCTAATCGAAAAATAAAAAGAGCCAAAAATTGTATGCAATTTTAAAAATATAAATCACAAAAAAAACCGTTGGGTTCGCTCTTGTAACGTATTTTTTTGCGTTCTGTCGATCCCACATCAATAAAGTTCATACTACTGATTGAATTTTCCAATAGCAAAACAAATCAATAACTATACATTTTATTTTCGGGTCCAGATCTTAAAAAAGCACATCGAAACATTCATTTTAAATCAACTATTTTTTAAGTGATTTTTTTTAAAGTCCTATTTGTCGCACATTGCATGCGAAACGAAATAAAAGTGAGCGTCTAAAGCAAAAAATAAAAGCAACACAAAATATATCCATCCTCTATATATATAAATATTTTAAAATACGCTTGCGCATACATAAAATTCGTATAAAATTCTATCTATTGCCACTGTGTTCTGTGTGCTGTACTGTGAACGATTGTCGTTTTGTGGAATTCTGCCACTTTTGCCACGGTTGTAGCAATCACTATTCACACACGATGTTTATTCTGTTTTGTTACAGACAAGCTTCGCACATACAGTTCTAAACTTGTCTTGAATTTCTTGAGCCGATAAAAGGTCGGTTATTCGTTCGGCTTGCTTTCTCACAATATCGCAACAACACTCATTTTGACTGTGTGTTCGATACAATTTCTGTTCTCTTTCTCTCGATATTCATTTACGTGTGCTTGAATTGAGTGTGAGCCACCGATTGCCGTCTTTGTTAAATAATTCAAGACCGTCAACGTCTAAGAACAGCTGTAGTATATCGTAGTCATCGTCATCGACATCATTTTCATCGTCGATGTTGTCTACTGTTTGAAAGATTCTCTAATTTGTCCTTTTCTCAGTTATCATTTGAATTCAAACCGAAACGGTTTCGTTACGGAGTGAACACCGAACGAACCGACAGAGATTTTTGTGTGTTGTACGATATCGTCGTTACCAGTTTGTATTGTGTGCAGACGATGTGCGTGCATGTGTTTGTGTATGGATTCGATAATAATTTAAATCTTGAAAATTGTCGCTTAGCTGCGGTTTGATCGGAGTTAAATTATTTTGTGTATAAGCTGATTTGCAAGAATGCAAACGCTATTTATGGATCCATTTAAAAACGTTCAATATTAATTAATATTCAAAAGACGACAAAAGACAATTTAAATGAAATTTTAAAGGAAAAAAGCCGGGAACTTTGCCAAAAGAAAGAAAGGGAGGAAGAAATAAGCAAACTATCTAAATAAATAAAAATTTGCAAAACAAAAATATAAATATGATTCAATAAATAAATATTCGAAGCAGAAGAGATTGTGTGCAGATCATGCTCAAGTGGTAGGTTCTTTAAACTTAAATTAAGAATCATTTCAAGAATTTTTTTAATTGACACAGTGTTAAATTAAACGATGCAATTGAATGCAGTGTAATTTTAAATGTGTATAATGTGCGAATTGTTTTGAGTCTAATAAAAGAAAGGAAACGACATTAAGGACATTCCTAAAAATAGAATGATTAAGTAAAGGCAATAAATCATCCTTGGCATGAATGTAGTTGAATATTATTTTTTTTTACTCCAACAAAAGCAACTAATGTATAGCATAAATAAAATAACAAACGTAAGTGTACCGTCGTCACATACATACCCCACTACGTGAGTTTGGAGTGTGTATTTTTTTGTGCGTGATATTTGGAAATTCTAATTAAAATTACTTTCTCATATATGTATATGAAAAATGGTAAAAAGGACAACAGAAAGAGTGGAAATGAAAAAAAAATATTTATGACAAAGGCAATGCACGGCAGACATTTTTTAGGAGGCTTGCAGCGTACGGTCTCATAATTCTATAAAACAGTGAAATGCTGGCAAAGATTTTTTTTTTGTTACTCTCTAACTCTCTCAATATTCGCAATTTATTTGCTAATCACATCATTTCAAATTGAGCAGTTTTCGTATAGCTTCTAACTGTTTATTTGTTTATCAGCTATTTCGTTTGGCCAAATAAAACGGTCGGACACACTTGAATTGCACATATATATACAAACATTATTCATTGTCAACAACATCGTTTCTTTGGAGACGACAAAAAAGCACACATTGTTCGTTTCTCTCTCTCTCTCTCTCTCTCTCTCTCTCTCTCTCTCTCTTCAACAAAATTTACAGTAGAGAAAATGAAAATATATATATTTTTCTGGTGCTACCTCTTCAGTCGTCGCACACGTTCAACACCATAAGATAATTGGCCATAAAATAAACGCGGCGAGAGAATGAAACAGCATACGTTAGACACATGGAAGCGAAAAATGTGCGAAAAATCATCACAAGTACGACGTTGTGAAAAAGGCCAAGACAATGACAATAGTTACTCAATGGCAACAGTAAACAGCAAATAGCAAGAGGGTGCTAACAAGTAAATATTTCATTTTACAATTCCATTCAAATGGGAAATGTAATATTGAGAAAAAAAACATACAAATTTATAATAAGATGAAGAAAAAAAGAGAGAAAAGAAATACCTTCACAACTTTCGTTGCTGTTGTACAAGTACTTATTAAGTTGTGGTGGTCTATTTTAACAAAGAGCAAATTCCATTAAACTCAACAAACTCTGTTTATTGAAAATCAATCATGACAAACAAGTTTCGATGCAAAAAAAATACACGAACCGAGTAAAAAATACTAGTGGACTTCAACTTTATCTATCTATGTATTCTACATTGTATCCTCTAACCAGAAAATATCGCGCATCGAAAATTCAATTTACACCTATTTGTTTTCACACAACTATTGCCTCTAGGATCTTCGTCAAAAGTGTGCTTAAGTTTTTTTCATTTGCAAAAAAAGGATTGGAACGGACAACATTTGAATAACAAAAAATACCACATTTTTAGTTTGCGATCATGAACAAATTGCAAAAGTCAATTGAAACTTTAGAAAAATTCTAATGCTTTTATCCGAATTGCAAATGTTTGCATTAAACGTTTATGTACGCAAAACTTCCACTAAAAACTTGGCCATAATTTCGCACACATTATAATTTATACGCCATACATGGTATATGATTTTTTTTCTCTATCTTATCATCAAATGAACGAAACCATCTATCGAGCTATGTGCTATGGCGTAAATATTTGATGAGACAAAAGTTAAACATCATATCGTTGAACATAAAAATAATAATACATATAAATGTCTGTATAACCGTGTGTGGCATTCTCACATGATGACGACGATCAAATGAAAAAAAGGGAGAAAAAGTATCATCTGACAGCATAGAAGAAAAAAGAAAATAAATAAGAAGAACGAAAATGTATTGAGGTATACTGGATAAATGACACATTCACAAAATAGAACCAAAAAATACACATTTGGGACATACATCTTTCAATAAGTCGGAAATCATTCTTTGACCACAATTTTTCGTTTATCGGCTATTTGGGACCGACCAAAAAAAGAGCCCCGAACGCCTCAAGAGTAATAAATGACATGAATGACCAGCGAAAATTTATCGAAAATGGTTGTATTATGTGTCGCGACACACACATATTCCCATTAATGATAGCAGACAGTCGGTTTAATGCATTTGCGCCATCAGTTTTGAGTGGAATTCAATGCATGGCACTTTTTGTGCGCTGACGCTGCCAGATTTATCTAGTTTAGTACTGAAAAAATACGAATATGTCTTTAAATACACATTTGAAAGTGTTTGCGTATAAAAATTTGGCGAATTTACTCGTTCGTGGTCGGTTGATTGGTGACACAAATCTATTCAATGGTGTCGGCTCACTTCTTAACTCTTCATTCCTCAATCAACACCATCGCCACCGCCAGACGAATCTATAACGAAAAATTAAGGAAAATCACAAGACAAACGGCACATCTTGCCTGTCAAACTTATTCTATGTCTCATCGTTCTCAAACAAATTATGGAAATGTATACCGTCGTTAATAAATGCTCAATATGTATATAAACATGAACTTTTCTCTCTCTCTCTCTCTCTCTCTCTCTCTCTCTCTCTCTCTCTCTCTGTGTGTGTGTGTGTCTGAGCGGGAAAAAATGAAATTATGCACGAAAATGAAAACTTCTATCCATCAAAAATTAATGCAACGCAAAAATAAAACTTTTGTTCTATGCATATTGAATAGAAAGAGATTACTGATTCTTTTAGTTGTGGGACTTTTTTTCTCATCTTTTGTGGACATAAATAATATTATGATAATGTTTGATGGGAGTTTCATCAACACGCGTTTCATTTTGTCTAACTTTTTTTGGCGTGGAATCCACTGTGGATCTTCACACTTGTTGCTGTCTACAATTCCATCATTTTTGCAATTCCGATGATGATTGCTTCAGAATTCAATTGAGATTCATTATTGACAATCCATCGGAGCAAAATACGAATCAGGCGAATTTCTTAATTAAATCATTTTTCTCAAACTCTCTCTCTCTCTGCCTCTTTTTTCTGTTCTTTTGACATGTCACCACCACAACCAACAACAACAATTTGCCAGCGACTCGATAATATGTATGATGTCGACGTCACTTGAGTTTCTTCCTTAATTTGCTTTCTGATGCGTTAAAGCTCAATGTGTTTTACGCGCCTCATGCTGTTGTGCAAAAGCATAAAAACTTCAATCATAAATTTCATAATTTATGAAACACTGAACATTTTCTCTGGTGTTTTTTTTCTGTTAAAATGTATTGTTTAGAACTTTTCGGGTTTTGTGGGTTAAAGTTCATAATCATTTCAATGTTTTAGTAATAAATTAATTTCTTGCCACATTCTAACCACAAGTATTCAAAAAAAAAAATCGAAAAACAACAAAGCAACACAAAGAGTAAAAATTCAACGCTTTTTGTAACGATTTCCAACAAAAATTACACATTTTGTGGCAAATGTGACGAGAATGACGAAACATCTATCGCCCCAACTTTTTTTTCGGCCATAAATACCGAATGGCGGCCGAGGGAGTAAAAGGGAATCTACCATCATTTAAATAAATATGTCTTGGCAATCTAGTACTTTGCAAGTTTTCAATTGATTTAAACAAACATCAAAATACTTCCGCGAATCAACCAAAAATTAATGATGGTTTACTTTTCAAAGAAGTTCGTTTTGTCGATTTAAAGGCTTTCATCGTTTGGATTTACCATCAAAGTTTACACTTAACAGGACAAAAATTCCAGAGAATTTAAAATTATAAGCCATACATATAGATAGCAGATTAAAAAAAAAAAAAACAAACAACAACAGCCACAACAATGATGCATAGCAGAACGAAGCGGTTTTGAAATTTGAATCGGAAATATGCGCTTTCATATTGGCGATGTGATAATTTTTCGATCGAAAAACAATGAAATAAGAGAGAAAGAGAAAATAAAAAAACAACATCGAAATATATTGAATCCATTTATTCGCCTAGTCCATACACACAATACGAGTATATACAACCTATAAGTGCGTTCATTCAAATAATGCGATGTAATAAATATGAGCAGATTGAGCGCAACGTGAAATATTGATCTCTTGAAACAAAAAAAAAACACAAAAATGTGTCACAATGCATGAAACGTCCCATATATCAGTGTGATGATGAACATTTGAAATTTTCCCATAGATATGGGCGATGTAACATTTCACACCGACATATAGACAGGTTTCGAATTTTTGCACATTACACACACAAACTGACTTGATAGCACACAAAAAACACCAGTCATCGAATTTTTGTATTCATTTGCGTGACACGTGAGTTAAGCGCTTTTTTTCTTCTTCCTCTGCTTCCGTTGCTACTTAGTGCAAAAAAGATGAAGAGTAACACATGTATTTTACGTCAAATTATCCTTTCCAACTCACGCGTATATTAGTCGGCACATGATTTTCTCTATAATTTTTTTTATAATTCTGCCGAAAAAGTGTTCATGTGTAGCAAAATTTTCGTTGTCGAATAAACGTAGCACGGTAATTTAGCGCATAAAAAATTGTTGCAAGAGACAAACATCGATTTATCAAAAAAAAAAACGGATGCTAAAGAAGTGATGAAAGAAAAAAAAAACATTTTTATTGGCATTTAAAGCGTCGTTACAAGCGATGTTTCTTCTTCTTTTTCCTGAATTAATTTTCGATATCATGTCAACGAGAGAGACAGCCATACATAAAAATACAGCGGGAAAAGTTTTAGACAAAAAAATCTCATTAGAAAAGAGATTTCCATGGGAACATGCAAACATACATACACACACCGAAATCAAGTGAAATCAAAACCGGTTCATTTGAGTGACTAAGGCCCCAATTTGAGTTACTAATTTGCATACGACGGTGAATTCAACGAAAAGG